AGCTGGGAAAATACATATTTGGTCTGAGTGTGAAGATGATGGGCTGGAATTAAAAGGTTTTGCAAGCTATAGTCTGAATTTAAAGCTCCTATTGCAAGAGCTTCACAGATTCTTTCTCCCATCCATCCACCATCCATCCAGAGCCTGCTGTGAGGCAGACACTATGATGGGCACTGGGAATATGTAAAAAAGTCTCTTCTCCCTCACAGACAGCGGAGTCACTGGGAAATGTGCACACACAGTAGGTGACAGAAATCTGCCAAGTGTCACAGAAGCAAGCAGAAGGCCCGACCCACTTGGCCTGGGCCATGGCAAGGCTTCACCAAGGAGGTGATATTTGGATGGCTCTGAAGGATTCCACGCAGAGGAGAGACCTGCGTGTTCAAGAGCGACACCGTAGTCTGATCATGTCACTCTCCTGCTCAGAGGCCCTCTCTTCCCAGCCATGAACAGTGACAGCAGAAGTCCAAGTAATGACGAGGAGAGGCCAGTCTGGCCGCCCCAGAGGCCTCCTGTGCCCTAGCTGTCATCTTTGCACCCTGCCCTGGTCACTCGGCCTCCCACTGACACCCGCCTGGCTTGCACCTGGCTTCTTCTGTGTCTGCACTTGGAAGGCGCCCTCCCAGTCAGGTCCTCCCTCGCACTCTTCCCTGACACTCTCTCCTTCCTCATTTAGTTTTTTCCCTGTCCATCACTACCAGCAAACAGCCAAAATATTTTGCCTATTTGTTTATTGTCTGTTCCTTCAAGAACGAAGTTCACAAGGGCAGGAGTTTCACTACCGTATTCCTGGTGCCTGGAACAGCACTTGGCATATGGAAGCTGTTCAGGAAATATGTGTGGAATGATTGAAATTGAAGGCCTCGGAAGGATATGCAGAAAGAAGACACGAGCATCTCTTGAGAGGCAAAGGGAAGCCCTGCACGTGTTAAACTAGGAGACTGAGGTCACAGGTTTGTGCTCTCCAGCCTAACAATTCTGCTGGGGACAACAGCAGTGCGGTGGCGATGGGATGGCGGCAGGGAGAGACTGGCAGCAGGCTGTCCTATCAGGGGACCACTGCCCAGATGGGCGACAGCTTGACATGGACAGTGGGGGGAAGGCAGAGCGGGCAAGGATTTGAGAGGTTTGGAAGATGAGTTAAAATGATAACTGATATTTTCCATGAACCCCAGGAAACAAATATTTAAATATTTTCATTTCTCTTACGTGACAGTTTATCAGTATAAAACCAGACCTAATTTTCATACGAAGAATGCTTCAAACCCCAGGCATACAGAAAAGCAAGCTGAACTGTGACACTGAGAATGCAATCGGTCAGGCTGCGGCAGGGAGGGGACACAGAGCTGTCCTTTGGATCAGCATCCGGCTCTGACCCAGAGCTTGAGAGCTGGGCTCCTCCTGGATAAGGGGCACCGACCCTGCTGCTCGACGTCCCTGGTGACTGCAGCCTCAAGCCTCAATCCGTCTAGTGGGTTTCAGGGCTCTTGTTCAGTTTGAGATTATTGTTCTTTCCTTGCTTTTTATCTGTTCCTTTCACAAAACGTTGTAACTAACCAACCAAGCCAATGTCATACTGACTGCTAATCTGTTTGCCCTTCACCTGGTCACACCTCACGCGCTCCATCCTAGTTCCCACTCTGTGCTGGGCAGAAACACCCAGGAAGCTTTCACGGAGGTGATTTATACGCTGCTCCCCTCCCCCACCTTCCTTCCCACCTCCCAGCCAACACCCTTTTCTACGTGACAGGGTGACAGAGGGCCATTCTCAGGGAAGGAAAAACTCAGAAAAACATACCACTGCTGATCATTCCGGAAAAAACAATTCCTTTAAAATATATTGCAAGCGGTTGAGGAATTCCTTTATCAAATGCAGAATGGAAGGAAGACCCTGGTGGGCAGGGACAGAAGGCGGGGCAGAGGGGGCCCTCAGCATGCACACGAGCTGGCCATGCCAACAGCCAGCAGGAACACGGAGGAAGGCCCTTTCCTTATGAGGACGTGTGGAGAAAGTGTAACGAACCTTTGGCTCCTTGGAACAGTTATCCTCTACAAAGGTAATAATCCTCCAACTGCAGTCCCTCCAGAGAAGCTACTCCCTTCAGAGAAGTCTTCTGTTACAGCAGAGATCCAATTACACATGCCCACAGCTCAGTTAAAATGCCAACCCCAAGCGGGGTGTGGTGGCGAAAGCCCGTAATCCCAGCTATTCGGGGGCTGAGGTGGTAGAACGGCAGGTTCAAGTCCGGTCTGGGCAACTTGGCAAGACCCTGTCTCACCACAGAAAAGTAGAAAGGGCAGAGCTAAGCTCAGTGCAAATGCCTGGTCCAACCCACAGACCACAAAAGCGAAGGCAGCCCAGCGCCTAACTGCAAACGCGACCATGGCCAGGGACAGGCCTGGAGACAACTGTCCCGCGGCTCTCAATGGTGCGGAGCAGCTTGTGTCACCGCTCTTCCCTGACACAATTCCTTTTGGCCACCACTGCCAACCAGTTGGGGCCCAACGTTTTCCTGTGGCAGTGCACGGGGCTCCTCGAAACCAGCTCTTGTGCCAGGTGTGGGAGCGCATGCCTGTAATCTCAGCACATGGAGCCTGAGGCAGGAGGTTCACTGCGAGTTCGACGCCAGCCTGGGCTACCTAGCGAACTTAAGGCCAGCCTGGACTACATGACGAGACCCTGTCTCCAAAAAACCAACCAAACAAGCCAACAAAATCCCTTGTCTCTTGCCTGCCCTCGCAGGTATGTGTCTAAGTTTTACCTCGCTTGCCCTCTCCTTGGGACTTCTCTAAGGCTCCTGGAATTGGCTCTGTCCTTCCAGAAGTTCATGCTGTCTCAGGCACCATGCTTCCCTGGGGTGTCCACGCTACTCCCTTCCAGGGTCTTGTTCACTTGCCTTGTCCACAAAGCCCCTGGCTCCACTGTCACGCTGGACCTGGGGGCGTCATCCAAGCCCAGGGCACATCAGCGCTGAGCACAGACACAGCCGTGCACAATACACGGGGCTCAGTCTCACTTCAGACTCCTCAGCCTCCTGGGACTCTCAGTGGAGCCCTTCAAGGTCCCTGTTGTCTGTAGTAGGTATCTGAAGCAGGTGCCCCGGCCCCAGTAAGAGAATTAAGGTTTGGGGAGCACAGCAGTTAAACTCAAGGGATCCACGCTGAGAAGGACTTCCTCTGACAATACAAAGCCGTGCAAAAGGCTCTTCTCTTCCTGGAGCTGACTGTTGTGCCTGACTGCACTGCAAGCTTCGCGCATTCATTTGCTTGCTTGCTCTTCTCCCTCGGCCCGTGAGCCTGAGCACGGCTTGGCTGTATGATTGCCCACGTGAAACAAGTGCTTGGACTGCAGAGAGGCTGAATGGATGAGTCCCAGTCTAAGTTATAGAACGAGGCCATTTTCTTTATGCTGAGACCCAACCTGACAGAAGCCCGTCCCTCTGAAGCAATCTGCCTTCCTTCTCCGAGGCCCCCACCTCTAGCCCTTTGTCTTGGCTTCTGTGTGTGATCCTGGGAAACAACACGCAGCTTTGCCTTACTGGAAGGAAAGGTTCATGGAAACACAAAATATAACATTAACCTTTACCCTCCCTCCCCACTGCATTTAACACACCGGCGACTTTAAACCCAGGGAAACCAGGAAGAAATTAGTTCAAAATGCAGACAATAAAAAGAGGTTCCTTCCCATCCTCAAAATCCCGAGACTGGCACATTCTTCCCCCGGAGAAGCCATTCGAATGCGCCCATGCTGCGCTCCGGCCCCCCCAGGGCAGCCCTTTCTTCCGCGCTGGTTGGCTGTTTGGAGAGTCTGCCCACTTATGTAAGCCTGGAGCGGCAGCCACTGCAGCATCAATAAAACCGACTTCCTGCCGCATCTCCAAATGCCTGGCGCTGGCCCTACAGAACGGGATTGTGTCAGTTTCATCTCTGCCAACCTGGCTCTCCTAGGGGGCTCCATCACGGCTATCTCAGCTCCGGGAGAGGTCCCCTTTCCATGCTCCTCCTCCCTGTGTTCTCTGAAGATGACCAGAAACAATCATCCAAAATGAACAAAAGAATTACACATTAATCAGCTCTCACTGGCTCTTCTGACTGCAAAGATAGGATTACAAGCCCAGGCTTTGCGAGAGACCTACATTCCTCATTAATCTCTACTATCATTTCTATCACTGTGTGGTTTTTTTAAAGCTCCCTTTTTAGCAGGGAAGGAGGGAGAGCTATGTTCCTTCTTTGCTCAGCAGTAACTAAAAAATATGTCCTTAACATTTCAAAAAAGCAGATCGTTTCTCTGCTGTAACCACTAAAGCGTGGAGGTAAAATGGCACAAGTGTCCTTTATGTCTCCATCTGTCTAAATTAATGAATGGAAGCAGGGATAGCCTCTACTCGTGGTCTCTTTGGACAGTACAAATCTGATAATCCAGAAACTTTCCAGGGCCAAAAGATCCAATTCCTTTATGTAGCTCTCACTTTTGTGTAGTGTGTTCGGTTGGCAACAGGCGGTGAACGGCCTCTAAACTGTCCTCGTGCGCCCCTGCTCTCCGGCCATCTGGAGTGGGAGCCTGCAGAGGAATCAGGTCCTGGCATCTTCCCGCCAGGTTCGCTCCACGGGTCAGGGCTATAGTATGTTCAAAACGCAGTGGGCACTTTTCTCCTTTTTCCAGATCTGCCCACAAACTCCATTTGGGCAGAGGCTCTGCCAGGGCCATTTCTGCTCTGGGAGCCAGAGACAAGAGCTCCCACCGAGACAGAGAGAGTCCACAAACTGTGCGGACTGAAGCATTCATCCTGGCTGCTAATTCATTCACCCCGGCAAGCGGCTCTTGGTGGCTGCTTGTTGGCATGCCCCGGTGGCCCCCAACTCTGCTTTTCTCTGGCTAAATACCTGTTTGTGTGCTTCAAACTCCAGCTGGAGAGAAGGCTGAGCTTAGAAAGCCAAGCTACTAAAGTCCGATTCTTGAGAGGCAAGACCAGGTCCATTTTGGAGGGTCCCGCTCTTACCTGGGTATGGCACTCTTCCTTTGGTGACCAGCTCTGTGAGTAAGATTCCAAAAGACCACACGTCAGACTTGATTGTGAACCTCCCGTACAGGGCTGCTTCGGGGGCCGTCCACTTAATGGGGAACTTTGCACCTGCAGAGAGAATAGCTGGTTATCTGTCAGGCAGTCATACACAGCGGCTGTGGGCATGGGAGGGAAAGCACCCGGGAGCCTCTGTCAGGGGAGCAGGACACAAAAGAAGTGAGGGGAGCAGGACACAAAAGAAGTGAGAGGAGCAGTCTGGGACTGAGATGTGTGGTGTGAGCCTGGCTCTGTGACTTTGAGCAAACCAGTTTAATTTTTCCATCACAGAACTGGACTTCGGAGTTCCTTAGTAGCTCGTGCAAGGGCGAGGGCACTAGCTTCCTGAACCTGAATCCACGCCCAGTGTTCTAGGTTTGGTCTGGAGCAGGTTTCCTAACTGGTGATTTAAGGAACTGATTTATGTATTGTTTCTTTTGTTTTGAAATAATGCCACACTGTAATAAACACGCAGGGGACCAGACCATTATATTACTGGCTGAATCCTTGGGTATACACACTGCAGTTTGGTCTTACGAGTTGCATAAACCCATCACACCAGCTGGAGACAGCTGGACGCAGCATGAGCTATGCTGAAATGGGCTATGTTTCCCCAAGGCCTCACACACACAGACAGGGTTCTGCTCCTTCCCCTCTCTGTCCTTCACCTTTCCTCCCTTGAGTGGCCAGCATTGCTTCTGGAGAGGATTTTCTCCTGCACTGTGTGACCCCTGTCCACCTCCCTACCTTTCCCTCCCAGTCAGAGAGGGGCATCATTTAATGTTTGTTCTTTAAAGCGTGGTCTTCCCTTGGTGACTGTCTCATGAATGTCTGACTTCTCACCACCAAGGTGCAAATTCATGCTGAAGTCAGTAAGATCATGTCTGTTAAATGTCTTTGATCATTAAAGGAATCTTGTTTCTCCGCCAAGCAGGAAGAATCGGTCCACCCTGCTCTCCATGCTAAATGTGCAAAGGGAATTAAAATGAACTTAGTATCTTGAATTCGCACACAATAGACTCACTAATTATAAAACAGCTCCATGTAGTTCACTGAGCAGGCTAAAAGAAACAAGGAATTTTTATTGCTTACGTAAACACAATTATATCTTTAAAGCAGTTAATTATGCTTAGGAGTTCTTCAAAATCATACAAAGGCCGATGAAACAGAAATTTTCATGGTATTTTCTATGAAAAGTCACTATGCACAAAAGCAGCAAATGATTAAAACCTTTAAATTAGCAAGATTTTTAATAACCAGTCACATGATAAATTACAGCAATTAGATCTTTGTCTTAAATACAGTACATGATAACAACTTAGGCACATTTACCCTGGCATTTTCTGGCAATATAAGTTTCCTCTCCATCTCTTCCGGGCTGAAATGAAATTTTAAAAAATCCCGTTTCATTATGCAGAATCTTACATTAACAGTGGAGCAGGAAAGTTATTCCACCGTTTTCGTCTGTTTGTATGCATTCAGTTATTTTTAATTAGCTACATTTTTCAAGCATAAGTATTACCACTTCCCCTTAAGTGCGGATGAGGGTACACAAGTCCTGGTTTTCTCTGAACATTCATTTTATCTTAACATTTCTTTCAAAGGATTCTTCTTAAACTTCCTGTCCTTGAGCATTACAAGCAGACTGAGGCACCGGGATAATGCCACAGATTTTCTTCAGTGTCGAGAGCAGACTTTGCCCTGGACCAGAGCTTAGCAGGAGCTCTCTTACTTCAGAGAATTAAAGGAATATGAAGTTAATTCCTTTTAAAACCACCTCTCAAACCAAATGGCTTGAAAAATCTCTGTCCAACTCTGAAGCACATGGGACATTTTGCCCTACTGGGCAGACAAATCTTGTAAACAGAGTGACAAACACTGGGAGCCTTTCTCTCTTTCTTTGACCCTACTGGTGAAGGTATGTGAATTGCTAAGAGCAAATGATTTAAAATTTAGATATTTTGGATTTTGAGAGAAGATCTCATAATTCCAAGTTAAAGAAGAAAAAAAGCTAATAGATCAGCCAGTTACACTAGTTTTCTCGTTTTATAACCCATAAGAATAATTACACATAAATTTTCAAAAAAAGGTTAAAACAAAGACTCTAATGTAATGAATAACTGGTAATTTTCTTTGTTAGGAAACTATAGATATGTATTCTGATGTATTAGTAGGAGCTTAAGTAAATTTATTTTCCATTATCTTCTTCTAAAAAAAGCAACACTTTTATACCAAGCAATGTATTTTCCACAATGTATTTACAGTGTATCCAGTGGCATACATGTATCTAAAGCTTTTGTCCAATTTTTCCTACTATTTAAATAGCAGGAACTTTTGATAAAAATGTTTCCATAAAGATAACTCATACTTTCCTTTTCAAGGCAGGCAAATTTAAATTTCAACAATGATTAGTAATTAACGGAGATTCTGACTGAAAGAACTAAAGGGGTCCACTCTCCTGCGCCTCTCATTACCTCTGTTTCGCCACCTTGGTTCCTACCTCCTGAGGGCACACAGCTACTGACCCCACAGGGGTCTTTAAAAATGGCCTCACAGACTGTTTAACCGGCTACTCCTTTGCGGGCTGTTTTCTGCAAGGTTATCGATCTCCTTTCCCTTTGACATCCTGAATTCCACAGAGAAGCCATGCCTAAATGATTAAGATACAGCTGATAATCTTTCCTTAGAGTTATGAAAGCCAGAACATCTGGTGACCTACAAGTCACACCAGAATGTGCAACGCCCCCTCCTTTCGTTCTGTAGGTGTGTGCGTCTACCAACACAGGGCATGGAAGTTACTGGGAGGCTTCCCTTGCAGAAAGAACCACGGGAACGACCCGGGCTGAAGAGGAGGAGGCACACCCAAGATGGTGAGACTGCTGACTGCAGGCCTTCCAGCCTAATATCGGCTACTCTTTCTTTCTTATCCTACAAAAATCCTTTGTGCCCCTGAATGTACTAAAATAAGGCCCCGAGACGACAGCTTCCCTCTCGTCTTCTCAGAGAGCAGAGCCAGCCCTTTAATAAAACTGATTTCCTTCCTACCAACTTTTTCCCCTGAGTAGCGGCTTCCAAACAGCGAGAACCAGCCCAGGGCCCAGTAACTGCTGCACAGAGTAACACCCTCTTCTGGGAGAACAGGGTCATGGAAGCTGTCCAGCACGTGACCAGTACTGTCTCATAGGTGGCCCTGTGGGGGATGCCATGGGTTCTTTCTTCAGGTCAAGCCAGTGAAAGCTCAGATGCCCGGAAGAAAAGAACTGCAAGGTATAAAGATTGTCTTTTCCGGTTCTGTCCCTGGTATTTTCCCCACTGATACGATGGCAGGCATAAAGTCAGTATCAAAGTTATCTTCTAAGCAATGTGGAGAAAATGTCAGAAAAACTACCTTGTAATTAACTAGGTATCGTCACCCAACTAGCTGATTCACTCTTTGAAATTCTTCTTTTGGGAGCAGTATTCAGACGCCAACACAAATCTCTCTGCTCTGAAGCAGTGAAATGGGGGGGGGGGCAGTGGTAACTGATGTCACTGAAGCCCTGAGCCTGGGAGGACCTCAACACCCACGTCCTTGCTCGGTGTTTATAGGAATTGTTAAACAATATATCAGCATTTTAAATCGTTTCATGTGTGTGCCAATCCCATTTCTCTAAATCCTGCTGAAATGTGAACCGAGGGCCCATAAGCTCTGTGGCTTATGGCTAGCTTGACTCCAAGGACATTGACATTTGTGTCACCAAACGGGACTCTCTCGTGAGCTCCAGTCTCAGGGAGTTTCCTCCTCAGTACCCCCACGAGAAGCCTTAAAGAGCCGCTCACACACGACGCCCACAATTTATTTCCCCACAATTCGGCTTCTCTTTCAAACTCTGCTGCTAGTACTGGTACCAGAACCCGCAGAGTCGCCCTGTCCAGCAGCTCTGTCGCTGCCAGCACCCCTGCACGCTGACACACTAGCGCAGGGCCTGAGGGGGTCAGTGAACCTCGCTGCACGGTCTCTGGCCCCTTCTGCTCTCTGTCTCCATACTGAGTATGCCACTAAATCACATTCATGTCATACTTCTGAATGTGCTCTTTTCATCTCTGTCACCCTCACTCTAGTCTTAACCTGCTCACTGTCCCCGGCCCAGACCCCTGTAATGGCTCTCCAACTGGATTTATATGTATAATCTGGTCGTTACCACGTCTCCAGCCTCTTATTGTCCAAGACAGTTTCTCTTCTGTTCCCTGTCTATAACCTCCCGCCCTGCTGCTGCCTGTGACTGTTCTAGACACACAAACTGCTCCCTCTCCAGGTCTACAGGGCAGGCAGTACCCCTCGGTAGCTCCCATCTGGCTAATTCCTGGTCTCCCTTTGTCCTTGACCTGAGTGTTGCTTGCACAGGGCCCTGTGCCCGCTCAGTGACACCAGGTCCCAGCTCAATGCTGCCACAGAAACTCGTCTTTCACAGCTGTTACTATTAAAGCGCAGCGAATCACATGTTATCTGAAGCATGTCTCTAGTGACAGATACCACCCTTGAGGGATGGAATATGTCTTTCTGGATGACCACTACGTCTCCACTACCAAGCCCAGTGGCTGGCACACAGAAGGCTTGTGCCAACAGATGTTGAGTGAAAGAATGAACACCTGGACAACTGACAAGCTTCGACAGCCTTTCCTGCAGCCTGAGCAACCGTGGTTCCTGATAGGGCTTATTATCCGTTTCCTACTCTCTGGTGAGTCCACTCCTTGTCCTTGGTGACAGCCCCAGTGTCACTGTGTGTCACCATCTGGATGCCCTTTTAAGGGCCCAACAACTTCCAACGACAATGGCAAAGCAGCTGCCACACACTAATGAAGCTTGAAACGCCTGGGAAACCCTGCTCAGATGCGCTTTGGATCTTAGCGATTCTGTCTGAACCATGGAGAGAAAGGAATCTTGGACTCTGCTTGCAGGGCAGCATGGAGCTGCACTGTGGGGGTGGGGTGATTCTATCGGCAGAAAGAAGCGGGCCAGAGGCCTCTGGGTATTCACAGGAAGAGGAAGCGAACATCCTTCTCTTAGGATGCAGCGGAAGCCAGTGCCTGGACACCAACAGTTTTAGTCTCCCGAGGCCTGGTCTTCCTGATCTGACCCACAGGACTAATAATCTTCCGTTCTTCAAGTGAGAGGAAGGAGGAGGTTGTGGGTTCGGCTATCAAAGTTTGTCCACACACACACACACACTCAACTCAAAAAACAAAACAAAACAAAAAGCAAGAACCCATTACGACCATGAATATTCTAGAGTTTCCCCATGTGCTTGAGGCTGTGTCCAGCACTGTACTTGGTGCATAATGACAAATTTTCACGGAGCTGGCAGCTTTAGTTTGCTAAGGTGCTAAAAGGGACAACAGAATGGGGCACGAGACTAGATTGGGGGGACACTGCAGACTCCTTAGGGAGTTTGGCTTCCATATTAAGTGTGAGGGGAAGCTGATGGAACTTGTGAGCAGAAAAGTGAAGACATTCCTGTTGCCAATAAAACACAGAAGTCCGAGCATCACTGCCTTGAGAAGGACTTGATTTGTGATAAGACAGAATGTGAAAATGCTTTGTCTTCTTAAAACTTCTGGAAAAGTTACCGTGACATCTCAAGGCCCCTGGGTATGTAAGCAATTAGTAACTGGTAGATTATGCTTCTATTGGCACTTCTGTTGTGTCTGTTTAACTAGCGGCTTTTAGCATCTTTATACTAATTTAGCACTCTTCTCACACGTGAGTGGCAGCTGAAAAGATAAGAAGTATGAAATATAAATGACCTTTATTTTGAGAATGCGGGGAGAGACACCCCTGATCCCCGGGGTCGGTGATCTCTCTGTGGAACACGTGGAGTGAGGCACATAAGTAGCCTCAGCCTGGGGTGGAACCTAAGAGGGCATTAGGGATGCACAGGTAGCCCACTGGTCTTTGTTTGGCGCCAGAGGTAATTCCTAAGGGTGGGGGAGATAGGAGCTCCTTGGCTTTATCAGCTACAGAGTCCTGTCTGGGCCAAAATTCTTTCACAAAGGAGTAAAACTTAGCTTCTCCAACACTGTGTAAAGCTCAAGTATTTCTATGAGCAATGCGGTAACTGCTCTTTCTGGGTTAATTCTTTCCTGATGTCCTCTCTTTCTGTGCATTTCTGTCTGCACTGTCTGATCTTCCTTGCTGTCCTTCTCTGTTTACTGGCATCTGGGAGCCCATCCTCCACATGTCTGCACTCTATTCCCTTGGTGTCATGCCCTGTGGGGTAACCCTGCCTGTACTGTGTGTGCAGGGGGCTGAGTACAGCATGCAGATACCACCTCTCATCTGCAGTCTCGGCTTCTTATTTCCGAGGAACAAAGCCTCCAGGATGCTCTGCCTTTATCACCAGTGTGGCAACTACAGATCTCCGTTTATTTGATCACCTAATCAGTTATGTGTAATATTATTTAGATTTCTGTACTATCAGTAGAAAATTCTACTTAATGTCTTATAAAGTTGCTGCTCACTTTGCTATTCTAGGATGTGAACTGAATCCTTTCCAGCCACTGTCCCCTTCCTGGGGGTCGGATAACCATTCTGTCAGGCTTCCATGTGGAAAAACGAAAGCCAGCTGGGACTCCTCCCTCTCCAAATTCTCCAGATCTAGCCCATCACTAAGGCGGCTTCCCTCTTTGACATACCTCTCAAATTTGTCCTTTCTCAAGCTCACTGCCAGAACCTGCGTCATCATCTGTGTCCAGTACTCCCGCTGCAGTCCTCGACTTCTAGCTCACTGTCTAATTAATCACTCTCTCTCTCTCTATTTGGTACCTGGATTGAACTCATGACCTTGCACTTACCAAGCCAGTGCTTGAACTGCTGAGCTGGACCCCTGGCCCTCTAATTAATCTCCTTAAACTGCAGCTTCATGGACCTCCCTTCTTAGCCATATAGTGGCTAATTGCATTAATCAAAATCATCTAGTTGGTTTCCCAGGCTCACGTCTTTGGGTTCTTCCTACTCCAAACACAGTCTGGTTTAGTTTGTTCTCTGTACCCTCGGACTGGCATGATTATACCTGCTGTCTTTTACATTAGCTCGTTTGAAGATGCCATCTCTTCTTCCACCTGCTCAGCTAAAGCCTACCCAGCCCAAGTCCTGCCTCTCTGAAGAAGCTCTCTCCCATTACTCCTGTCTTCGCTGATCTCACCAACATATTCGGGTTCGATGCTATAAACAATAGTAATTCTTGGTAATACCAGCTACTGCAATAGCTGAACAGATCCTGGGTACTTGCTAACTGTCAGGCTACGCTGGGTGTTTTACACCCCAGCAATAGTTCTATAGTTGAAGAAAGTAAACACAGCAAGGTAAACCAATGTGCCAAAGAATTCATGAAAATGACAGGACTGAGATATGAATGGAAGGAGACTGTCCCCAGAACCAGGACACTTAAGCAGTGTCCTATTGTTATGTTCACCCTTCTCTACAGATCTACTAGTTCTTAAGGTGTTACATGAATTTCCTTGAAGAGTGTAAATCCTCTGAGATTGAAGGCCAAACTGGATTTATATTCCTCTCTAGAACTCTACTGCGTAAGGCTGGTTAAACAGCAACTCCCAATAAACACATTAACTGAATAAAGGGTCAACTCAGGCAGTGATTTACCCAACACCCTGACAGTCAAAGAGATTATCTTCCTTTACACAGCATTTGTGAAACTGAGCACAAAGAAGAGAATGACAATCTGAGCTGTGCAACGAACTAGTAACTTTTTTCGCTCTTACTGGTTGTTAGCTATAAAATCACCTCCACATACTTTAGGTGCAAACAGTCTGACATCAGCAGGGCTCATCCCAATCACACTGTCCCTGGTGACCAGGGAATCTGTTTTCCTCCTCTGTTGAAGGTAGAAGAGGCTCCTGATTTGGCTGTGTCCTGTAGTTGATGCGTATTTATGCACTAAGTCATGGCAGAGGCCTTCAAATGCTCCAATGCAGACCACGGATGCTCTTGTGTCCAAGTCCCCTTCTGTGCTCAGTGTGCTGAGAAATGGGTGTTCTTCAGTGACAGTGAAAGAGGTCAGCTGCGAGACGGTGCATTAGCTGGGTGATCGCCCTAAGTCTCAGTCTTTCTGCCTGGAATTCAGGGATGCCGACAACCTCATGAGGCTGTACTGTGAATGGCAGAAGACACACAGGCTCGGCACAGTGTCTGGCACCTGGGAACAGCTAGGTCAGTGCCCGCTACTGCTGCATTCAGATAGTTAATAAAAGGCACTGACTGGGCCATACTGCAAGTACTTTCAGCAATGCCAAAACTCCCTTAGCTTAAAGAGAGGAAAGGAAGAGGAAGAAAACCCTCTACACTCATCCATCAATTGTTGAGAATCCACTGTGTGTCCATTAAGTCTAAGGTCAGTGTGAGCTGCTCCTGGGAAAATGAGGCACAGGGCACCTCCTGCCCTGGGGACACAGAGTTCACAGGCTAAATTGTGACGCTGGTTGAGGAAAATGGTGTCTTGGAAGCAAAGAGAAAAGAGGAAGTGAACTGGGAAGGCAGTCTCCAGGGAGAGAGAGCACAGAGAGACAGTGCAGTGTGACCTAGTCTCTCCCGGAGGCAGGGGGGGGCGGGAGGTGCCAGGCCAGGCCTGATGGGGGCCCAGCTCATGGCACCAGCGAGGCTGTTGGGTCTTGTGTTTTCAGGTTACCAGGCCAATTCCACAGCCCTGCCTCACAGAAAATCCCCTCTGGCAAAAAAGAAAAAAACAAAAAAACACAAAATCCTGGGCCAAAGAGGGGAAGGTAAAGTCTGTGCAGAATTAAAAAAAGCCAAATCTGGGCAGAGAATACAAGTTGTGCCCTATTAGCATTTTTAAAGAAGAAAGTATTGGCTTCAACAATAGACACTGTTTTTCCAAACCCAAAGCCACCCAAAATCTTCTTAAATACGAAGCCACAAACTCTGCAAATCATTATACCCAGTATTAAATAATACGCAGGCCTCCAACTTTCAGATTACCCTCGGGATAAAAGAGATCACTAATTATGCCAGTGACAGGAAGCCGACTGCATGGTATACGTGTCTGTGTGTGTTTGCCTATCACGGGGAGCGGACAGGGAGCAACAGGACAAGATATCCTGAGAAAGAAGTGAAATCAAAGCTGACTTAACCTGGAACTTTGTGGTTATGCAAACACAACAGTGATTTCCAACCCAGTGAAACTTGGCACAGAAAACTCAAACTTTTCGTATTAGGGCCAGAGAATGACTTTCAAATTTCCCAAATGCTTCTGAAGTATTACAGTTGTGTTTCCAGTTATCCCTGATGACACATTATGTTGAAATTTCTACTTTAAGTTCATAAAGGTTTAGTGCTATGTTTTCAAAAAGTAAAAACAAATGAAAAGCCAGTGGACTGGGATAATATTCCATCTGAAATTTCAGCACGTTAGTGGGCTAAGGGTGACAGAAAGGAGATGGGTGAGGAGGTGTGGAGTCCTGGGAGGATGTGGTGGACAATGAATGAGTTCGGCCAAGGAAGACTAGGACCAAGGGCCAGAAGGTAAGTGTGATCATAGTGCAAAGATGAGGGTTGATTAACTAGACATGTATCTTGTCTTAGTTACTTCTCATCACTGGGACAAAATAGCCAACACTCACAATGTAACGGAGGAGAGGTTTACTTTGGCTTGCACTTTGTGGAGGTTTGAGGACATTGTCAGTTGCCTCCAAGGCAGGGCAGCATGGCCAGGGAGGCCTGCTGATGGCATGGCAGGAGAAAGCAGTCACCAATCAAGAGAGAAGGTGGGATACACATTTCCTTCCAGGCCACGCCCACACAGATCCCCCTCCCAATCGGCTTCCAGCTATGAACCTATCACATCCAGTGATGAGAATGACATTGTTATGATCCAGTCACCTCCCAAAAGCCCCACCTGTGAGCCCACGAGGCCTTGGGGGGACACCTAGACATAAGCCATAAAATATCTAAAGTCTGGTTGGAAAGGAGGCTCTGGCTATAGTGGTGTACAAATTCCCAGAGTTAAGGATTAGGCAGACAGAAGGTGTAAGGTCCATCAGTGGATATTAAAAATCTAGCCCAGGGCAACTAGAGGACAGAGGGGTGCAGACTCAGCTGGTACAAAGGCAGGGTGGAGGCTGGTTTCTGGGCACTAGTCCTTGTAGTCAGTCTTGCAGTCAGGAAGGACAGGCCGGAAGGTGAGTGGGGAGGGATGTGCAGTCCTCATGTGGAGGGTGACAGCGAGCAGGCTCCTTCTCAGGGAGAGACGGAAGGTGGAGAGTGGATGCTGAGACACTCCAACAGAATGGAGTGTGATCTCTGGTTGAGAAGAGGAGGCAAGAACAGAGCTATATGCAGAACACTGCAACCACCTGTGTGCTGCTTCCCAGGTAGGTAGTGAGCATTTACCTGAGCGATAAATACACTCCTGGATGGATGAGACTCCCCTCAGAGGGGCAGTGAGTCTCAATCAGCCTACCTCGGGTCACACGTGTTCTGGGCATCACAGATGGCACAGCATTTTGTGGTACTGCAGGGAACGTGCTGGTCATGCTGGGGGTTGTTTGGGAGTTTAGAAAAAGCCAGAAAGGATATACAGAAGACAAGTACCAGTTGGAGTTGCTTTTCATGTCATACCTGCTTTCAATCTGACACACACACTGGGGGACCAGAACGATGTGCCAAGTATCCTCCTTTGGTTGGAAAAAACAGGCTGTAAACCTTGATCCATTTGCCTGTGCACTGCCTCTCCCTGATAACCCAGGTGATGCAAATGCAAGATTTCTTCTGCTAGCCAAGGAAGGCATTTTTGATGTTTGATGGCAGCCCAAAGTTCCTATTTACACCGTAAAATCACTGAAGGTGACCACTTGCTTCTCCACCATTATCAAGCATATTTTGCTCCTGACCATTCATAAACCACCACCAAGTGGCTCTGCCCAAAACAGCACACAGAAGAATGCAATGTCCATATGGAACACAAACCAGGACTGCCTGGTGGGCACTGATAAAGGGGTGACCTGCGCTGACACAGCTGCATTCCCAGTGCAGATGCCAAGAGCTGACCCTGTGTACAAGTGGGAGAAATCAGTCTCCCCAGTATTTTTAATCTTAAAAGAGAGATGGGGGTAGGCAAAGGTGACTTAGTCTCTCTTCATTTTAATCTGGCTTTCAACACATTCTTTCTAGGCAGGAAGTGGATGCTTGGTACGTTTCATCTCCATTTCCCTGCCTGTCTGACCTGCTACCCCTGGCTATTAATCTGGGACCGCAGCGGCGGCTGGGCAGATACACAAGGCGGGCCCTCCCAGAAATGCTGGAGGAAGCCCAGAGCTGAAACCAGCAGAATACAAATGAGGGCGATTTCTGCCTGGTGATGGAAGTGTACTGAAGCCGGGCTCTGAGAGGCTGGAAGACAAGCAGTGTAGTTTCTGCATGCAGCTCAGCTCAGCAGAACAAGTGGCTGACCTTTGGTAGGCCAGCGGCCCCGCAGGGAAGCCGTCTTCTCTCGGAAAAGCCCTCGGAATGATAAACTCCCAGTGTGACACAGGATTGTGGTGTGTGCATCGCATGGTGGCCTTTCGTGGCTCAGGTTGGGAACAAGCGAATTTCCGGCTCCATACTTAAAACAATGGCTTGCTTTGGAAAGGGTTTGCTTTTTATCAGAGGGTGGTTTGCTTCTCTAGGACGGAAGGAATTAAATTCAATAATTAACAGGCTTTTTTTCCTTTCCTTCTGTGACATTTGCTGTTCAGGTCACAGCACACCATGCAGGAATGGCGAAACTGTTGCTGACAGAGAACAAGAAATTCATGTGCCGGGGGAGGGCCATCTCACGGTGGGATCAGCCTTGATCTGCAACCGGATTACAGGGGCCTTAGAAGTGGCTGATTAATAATTCTGCAGGAGCCCTGAGCTGGAAAACTGGTACGCTGGGTCTAATAATCCCCAGTCATTGTAACACAAAGGAAGGACAGGAATTGAATTCCCAGTTCTGAATTGTGAAATTCAAAGTCTAAAAGAAACAGGGATCCAGTTCCTCCTGGCTGCGGACATCACCCTTGCTGTCTGCTTGTTTGTGTTAAATGGCCACTGTGCTTTTTGAATTCAAAACCTGATTATATTTAATTAGTACAGCATCTGGGATTGCTAATACACAAAGAGTTATTAAAGTAACAAATCTTTCTAAAATATGCTCTCCATGAAAGAATGTGCTAATTTATGCAGTAACAATTTTTTAACATGAAATAATTAACATGAAAACTGTAACAATTATGAATTCTTGGTAGTCTAATTTATATGTAATTTTCCTCCAGACAATAATCTATTCAATTTAAATCCTCAATACTGGGAACATCTGAACAGACACATTTTTCTTCTCCTACTTAATACACAGACTGGCAGTTTCATAGGTAGTACCAAACACCCCTACTTCTTAGTATAGTCCAAAGATCCAAAGATTACACTGCCTTGACATTTGCTTCTCAGCAACAATCTTGTCACTAATTTAGAACTTAGAAACAAAACAAAACCCCAGAGCAACTCGGCGTTCCAATGAATGAAGAGAATCCTGGAGGGAGATGCTCCACCCAGCAGGAGCACTGACGCAAGCAGGTCAGGAAAGCCTAATGTAACACGGGGACAAGAGCACTCACATGCCCAACAGTAACACTGTCACTGTTACTACCAATACCAAGTACCGCTAGTTGCTACATCTACAACTAACTCAGCCTTGTGTAGTGGAGAAGCCATACAATTCTGTGATATAGGCAACTATTATGACAAGGAGCTCACCAAGGTTTCTTATCCAAGTAGCAGCAAAGATGGGAGTCACACCAAGCTAATCTGTATTTGTGGGGCGTACTCGTAACCAATCCAGCCCTGCCAGCAACAGGAGGGGAGACGGTGCATGTGAGGAGATTGGAGGAGGTCTGGAGTCAGACATCACGCAGAGTGCTGACAGAAAAGCGGAAAGGAATGAACCAGCACCAACAGCGTCTATGGATTGTCTTCTCCAATCCTTACATCTGCCCTAAAAACAGCTGATACCGACTCTTTCACAGATGAGAAGACTGAGGCTCTGAGAGGCCAGACGTACGCTGCAGACATGTGGTCCAGACAGCAGTGCATGCAGGCTGCCAGGTTCCGAGGCTTCTGTGCTGAGCTCACAGAGTCTCGTGGTGTGCGGGTCCCATGGTCCTCCCTAGAGGTTCTGGCGGCCACTGCCATGCTGGATCTAGGGAGGCTGCACAGCCAGCTGGAGAGCAGGAGGGTGTGTCTGGGATGAGGATGGGGACGGGCAGGTGACCCTGGCTGTTTCCCCTGCTATACACAAATATCCACCAAACACACCTACTGCGTGCTCAGTGCCCACAGGGGCTCTTTGCTGGTCTCCAGCTGCCACCCCTACAAGAGGGTACAAGGCTGGCCTGTGTACACAGGTACACAGCCCCCGTGGAGTAACAGTGCTCCTGTGTGCACTTGTGCTGAGGTGATAAAAACACAACAGGGGCACAGGCAGGCAGGCCTCAAAGAGGTGGAGGAGGGGGAGGAGGAAGAGGGAGAGGAGGGGGAGGAAGAGGAAGGGGAGGAGGAGGAGGAAAAAAGGTCACCCAGGGTGGTGGCAGCAGACGGCTGACTCATAACTGGGCTCAGGCTAGAGGGTCCTTGGGGCACGTAGATATAATCAAAGAGGTGAGCAGACTGGCTGTGGTTAGAAAATAACGACATGTATTATCTCTTTTAAAAGACAGTTTCTTGCTTCTGTTTTTTTTTTTTTGCTTCTGTTCTTTTTTTTATCGGTACCAGGGATTGAACTCACAACCAGACACTTGCAAGGCAGGCGCTTATGCCGCTGAGCTAAATTCCCAGCTTCTCTCTGATTAGTAATAGTTTTTCTCTTTAAAAAATTTTTTTAGGTCATAAAAATCCCTCTCTCCCTCATGTACAGTATCTATTTACTATTATTTGTGCAGTTCTGGGGATTAAATACAGGGTCTTTATACTGATCTGGAACCACAGCCCTTTTTATTTTTTTTTTTTTTGAGACGGGGATCTCCCTAAGTCACTAAATTTGCCTAGGCTGGGCTCGAACTTGTGACCCCCTGTGTCAGCCTCTCAGCACTAAAGGAATTAAGGTTATCAGAATGATTTCTGTATTTCACAACCCTCAAATTTATATAGATGGCTGATTTAATTCTTATTTTAATTACCTGGGGTAATTATTTTTGTTATTTCCATTTACGGATAATATTAATAAAAAAAGAGACTCAGAAAAGGTTAAATGATTTGCCTGAGGACACCAAGCTTGTGACAGAGCCGTTCAAACCCAGGTTCCCCAGTGGCCGAGAGTGGAGCACAATGCGGATGCACCGCACAGTGACTGCCCCTTTGGAGTCGTGTCCCCGAGTCTGGGAGGCAGCACTGAGGACTCCGTCTCGGCCTCCGCCTGTCTGGCTCTTCCACTCCTGGGCATGCGCCCTGCATGTGTGAGAGCACGCGTCTACCTCCACGGCAACTTTTTTCATGAAGGCCCCAAAGCTGGAAACTCCCCACTGCTCACAGGCAGCAGGAGGGCTGGAGTGTGAAGTGCGTCCATGGTGGAACAGTAACCAGCTGCGAGAACAGAAGAATAGCACCATGGGCGAGACCCCTAGGTGCTGAGGGGAAAGGAGCCACACAAGGTGGCACTGCGTGATTCATGCATACGGTGGTCACTCACAGGTCAAACCATCTATGGGGACGGCTACTGCCTGGGAGTGGGACTAGAGGGCCTTTCTAACGTGCATCTTCCTCTGTTTCAGCTACGTATGTCGATGAAAATGCCCTGACTGGCTTACCTTACCGTGTGAGTGTTATGGCTCTACATAGCAATAACAGCATGTCCACAAAAGCAAGTCACAGTACCCTTACACATAAGTCGGGGCTGTCTGAACTGCTGGGTTTAAAATCATCATTAGTCAGCACCAAGGTGCCTGGGAGCTTATGAAGACAAAGCAAGGCAAGAGAGAATTCTCGCTGCTTCTCATCTGCTGCACACAGGAGCTGGTGGCGGGAGGGAGTGCGGGTCCCAGGAGGGGCATGCTGGTGGTCACCGGGGACCCTGGGTACACACAGCAGTGGAGTGTGAGGAGGACGGCACAGGCACTGACCCTCACACCTCCCACCGCTGTAGCCCAGGTGGGAGCTGGGATTAGCTCTGGAAGGCCTCAGGGAGTCCTGGGGAAAGGTGCTATGAAGGCTCTCTGGGGAACAGGGCAGGTGACACAGAGGGGAGGGGTGGGGGTGGAGGGCCCAGCTGTGGCCAGGGATCAGATGAGGACGCCTGGCTGACCTTTCTGTTTTGGGCTGCACCACCAACTGCTGCCTCAAGCCCGAGGAATCCCGAATCCCTCATCTTCTCCCTCTGAAAGTAACTGCTACTTTCCTGTTTCACTCTGTGGGTGGCTCCTCCATCTCATGACGGCTAACATCTGACCACCTGAGAATTACTTTGGACTACTCTTTCCTTTTCCTGAACAGTGTCTGAGCTTTTCCACTGCACCTACAAACTATTCAATTGTTTATTCCCTAGTCATCTAGTCATTTTGGACAAAATAATAATAATATTAATAATAACAATAAATATTTACCACTCTATATGCTGAGCATTGGGCTAAACATTATACAAATTATTTCACTTAATCTTTGCAAAAATGTCAAAGTAGGTAAGATGGTTTATATTTTACAGGTAAGCCAAAGCCCCAGGTCAATCATAGATGGGAATGCTGGGTTTCCAACTCCCTTCCATGAGACTTCAGTGCTCCTAAGTGATCTGATCACGTGTGTTAACGGCTCCTAGCACGGTTCTAGGCTGCGGCTGCTTCTTCATATGTATATATGAACTAAATCCATTCACGCAACCTCCCTAGTAGCTGCAACTCAGCCGCACGTCCCATACCTGGCCTAGGCTTCTTTGTATCAGCAGCTTAATTAGTATTATTTTGAGATTTTTGAATGGGGAAAATTCAGCAAAAATTTTATGACTCAAGAATTATTTGCTCTAATCAAGTGAGATGCCCATTGAGATCGGGCAATCTTAAATATTTCTAGTGCCTTCTAAAATGCCGGCCCTCACAGGCTCAGGATCAGGTCTTGACTTTTTTCCCTGACACAGGGCTTCTGCTCACTATCCAAGAGTGGGCAGGAGGAAAGAACGTTTGTGTCACACAGCTCCAAACCCTAAGCACGCTTCTGCTATGTGCTCCCATACCTCCGCGTTCAGACAGGGTGACAGACATTTCACTGCACCCCGAGATGGGAAACTCACAACTGTTTTGCAAACAACTGTCATTTATGATCCTAAAATATCTGTGTTTGGCACAAGTTTCTGAACACTGCCTACGCTCCCATAATCAAGATGCGGCATGGCTGTGGCCTGTGGGTAACATAAAACCCGACTTGCAAATATTAGGCACATGGACCAGCTGTCTGGAGGAGCTGATTAATCCCCAGCAGAAACTTCAGCATGCAGCACGCATGCCATCTGCAGAATATACCAACAGAGACACGCTCGGCCCTTTTTGCCTCCTGAAGAGATGGGGGCAGAGTGAGGCCTTGGAGGAATTTTATAAGCAGCTCAGTTTTCCCTGGACTGGAAAATGAAAGTTTTGCAAAATCCCTCACACACGCACATTAGATGGTGCTCCTTAGAACTCTCTCTCCTAAAAGAGAAAAAGGGATTTATGAACAACCTTCTCCTTTTGATTTTCTGTTCTTTTAGTCATTGTCTTGAGGCAAGGCAGTGAGCACAGTTTTAAGAGGGTCGATGTAAATCGTTATTTCAAACTGGATTCAAATTGTGACTGCCATTTTCTACTGTGTGACTCTGTAAGTGACCTGGGCCTTCAGAGTCTGTTTTTATTGGTTCCCTCCCCATACATGTTGCCCCCTTGCCCGCTGTGTCCCTGGAGGTGTTTCACATGTGCCCCTGCCCCTTCCTCTCCCTCTGGCGTAGGACAGCATTTCTTTTACTTTATTTGGAAATCTTCGGCTCCACAGGCTTTGTCTCCCTCCCCTCTCAGTCCTCCAGGTCATTTATTTCTCTGTATTTATGTCTTTCCAGTGTTCAGCATGCGTTTGAAGGTGTTTGGGAAAGGAAAGAAGGAGGAACACACATTTTAACAGGGCAGGCTCGGATCGCCCACTGGGAAATGAAGTAGAGGGCAGTAGCCCGAGGGGCACGGAGCCGACCTTGCAGAAGGAGTCCAGGCAGGGGGAACGAGGTGGTGGTGGGGAAATCACCAGAAAGACCCCCGGACACAGAATGTGGGCGGAGTCTGGGATCACTGCTCACTGGGCCCAGCCAGGGAAAGTCCCTCTCCAGGGAATGAGACGGGTCCCATCCTCCACTGGCCCCTGGTCCCTTCCCATTTATCAGTGCTTCAACCACACACTCTACAGAGCCAGGAAGGGGGACGGAAAAAGTGCTTCCCGGCACTGAGTCTCCCACACAGAAAAGCTTATCTGGTCTCCTTCCAGCCCTTCCTAAAACAAATCTCCAAGTCTCACGGTGCTCTTAGCCTGCTCTCTTTGCAGGTCTGAGGGGTCACACGGGGCAAGGCGGAGCCCGTGGGCACTCACACGCCCTCGGCTCACCTCCTCACTGCCAGGTGCCCTCGCCCTGCTGCCTTGCTGCTCCAGCCAAGGCTGCTGGGTGCCTCTGATCAGAGACTCGGCAGCCATCTGGATCTGCGTGCGTGTGCTTGCTGCTTGGGCATTTGGCACTGGGACAAGAGCTGCCACGTGCCGGGGAAATTCAAATAGCTGAGCTGTCTGACCAACATGCAATCGAGCATTTGGCTGGTATCCGTACCCGCCAGGGTCTTGGTTTAACATTTTCCCTCATCACTTGAGACTGCTAAGAATGTTTCTATTCTCAGAGTCTAATAAAAGGAGAGAGCTGGCATGAAATGAAGAATCAAAAGGGAGAGGAGGAGGAGGATTCCAGAGATGGCCACTGTGGAATTCTGTAGAAAGCAGCACCCTCTCCTGCACTCCAGCCACTGGTCAGCCTCGCTGGGAACCATATGACTTTACAACAACATTGAAAGCCACCTCCTTTCCCCAACTCATGGCACGATAACTGACACAGGAGCCTACACTTAAGCAAAGACTTCCTACTTAATTCTAACAGTCCCCTGGTGGCTGCTAGGTGAAGCTCCAGGAACACAGGAGCGCTCCCGGGAATTCCTCCCTGGCATCTGCTCTCGATGCACCCTGACGCCTGCCTTGCTGCAGTGGCCGCTGGGTTGGGCTGTGTTTTACATCTAAGAGTTTTTGTACAGGCAGACGACGCCAGCCAGTGAAGCTTTCTGAGGGACTTTGCTGTTTCTGGCCACAGTCCCTTGAGACTTTCTTTCCACCCCTCTTCTCTCAGTTTGGACCCACGAAAAGTCACCGGTGGGGCCCTCTGACCTCTGGCTTTCCACTGGGCTCAGCAGGAGGCCCAAAAGCTGGCCGGCGTAATCTCCAATGTGTGCCTGCACCCCTTTCTACTGAAGGCCCTGTCGCTCTGATGTCTGCTCTCGCTGCCTGCCCTTTGCCAGTCGGGCCCTCATTCTGTTACTGTCACAGCTCTGAGGCAGCACACCATGACCTGCCGGTTTTCCCAAATTCTGCCTGTCCCTTTGTGCAGACTCCTTCTCCATTCTGAGTGTGCCTCCTGCTTTCTGCTGGGAATCTGACCGAGCAATGAACTTGACCTTGACTTATACCCTGCTTTCCATAGCCCTCTGTACAGAAGCAGACTTTCCTGTGCCTGGATACTGAGAGGAGGTGGGCAGCAGCAGGCCATGGAGCGGACCCCACTCACTGAAACACAGCGAGTACCTCGTGCATCCACTAGAACACTGCTTCTCCCACCTGCAGTGCCGTCAAACTCCTGCCAGACCAACGAGGAAAAGGGAAAGCCAGGAAAGAAAGACATCTCAGATCTTCTCTGCCGGAAGGGACAGGAAGGGAGCAGGTTGCGCAGTAATTAGCTACCATTTGTCAAGGTAATCATGAGTCATCATCAGTCAAGTGCCCACCTTGTCTTGCTGTGTACTCATTGTCTTCAATTAGCCGGGCCAATCCGAAGTCAGCAATTTTGCAAATGAGTCCATTCCCCACTAGAATGTTTGCTGATCGCAGGTCTCTGTGGATATAATTCATGCGCTCGATGTAGGCCATTCCTGCAGCAACCTGTGGAAACCAGGGGAGAGGGCGCGACCATCACATTCTGACCCGACGCACTGAGATGCTGTCACGTCTGTGGCACGAATCAGGCACCAGCAGCCTACCTGTGCTGCCATGTCCACGAGATTGGGTAACTTCAGAGCTCTTCCTTCACCATCTTTTAAGAAATCAAGTAAACTTCCTAGGAACCAAACAAAAACCCATTTCAATGCACTTTAAAAGATAAAAATTCCCCACAGAGAAGTACTTGGTTTATAAGTGAAAGTTTACCCAATGGTTTGACACCATCAATAAAAAAGGGGGTTATAGAGGAAGCTACGGAAAAAAAAATTCTACATACTGCAAGGCAAGTTTCACCTTTTGAAAGTACATGATATTGATTTTATTTCTAGAATAACAACAACAATAACAACAATAACAACAACAACGACGATGATAAAAGAGGAAATGAAACTTAGTATCCCTAAAAAAGTCAAAAAAAGAAAAAAAAAAGACAAAACATGGAATACTTTCCTAAAAAAGTCAAAAAAAGAAAAAAAAAAAAAAAAAACGAAACTTAGTATCCTTTTATCTTACAAGGAGCATGTGGGGATCTGTACTCTTTGGAGCTCATCCCCCATCAGCTCTGCATAAAGGAAACGATATGGGGAAAACTGAGCCCAGCTGAATGGTCCAAAAATGTGGTCTTGAGTATGACCAGCAGGCTTGCCAGAAATGCAGAGTCCCAGGCACCACCCAGGTCTAGTAAAGCAGAAACTGGAGGCTGGGCTCCGAAGCCTGTGCTTTAAGGTGATTCCAGTACAGTGTAAAGTCTGAGCATTACTGCCCTAGCGTATGTACAGATTTTAAGTCAAGAAAAAGATACGTGAGGAATGTGTGTGGGGCAGGCAGCTCCCCCTAATTAGGTCATAGCCAGCCACGCCTTAAATCAGACGTCTGAAACAGAACAGCTGGGGCTTCACAGCCAGTGCGGTGAGGCAGCCTGAGCAGGCCCAGAACTAGCACCAAGACAGCAATAATCATCTGCAGGGGCCAGAGGATCGTGATGGCCATCAGCGATGCTTTAATCATAAAGTTATTTACAAAATAACCCTGGATACACAGAGGACAAACAGTCTGCCAGGAAGAATTCCATCTGTATTCTAAAACAAAGTACGTGGCAAAGAAAACTAGGCTGGTGTCTTCTGATGTACAATGCCTTGCCTTTTAAGGCTGTTTCTTGTTTTGTTCAACTATTTTTCCAAAACAAAGAGATCTCTGGCCTCCTCCCCAACAATGTGCGTTTGATTATAAAGACACTCACTCACACACACAGAATAAAACGTGTTCTTTTTTTTTTCATCTGATATTTAAGGAGAGAGCTGAAAAAAAAATAAAGATGTTGAAATGATGGAGACTAAACAGTCCACAAATCAGTGATATTGTCTAGCCCTACGAAAAGGAAATTTAACATAAGTTACTGCATTCCAAGTCAGAGCAAATGATCAAAGCCTCTGTATCACACCTAGCATTAAGGTGAATGTTTTAATTATAGAGCGAAACTTGAATTCCTGACATGTGCACCATGCAGTGGCCCTGCATGTCACAGGACTGGAGGATAAAGGCAAGGCTGGTCTGTTTTAAAGCATTTTCATTCCAGCACAAACGGATGCTGGACTTCGGTAGAAACTAGGCTCAAAAACACGCAGGCAGCTAAATTTCTGTGCCCGAAACAGCCCTGTGAGCCAGGGTGGATGGAGACGGAAGCAGCTCCTGACCTTTGTTCATATACTCGGTGACAATGTAGATGGGCTCTTCAGACACCACCGCGTACAGCTGGACCAGCTTGTCGTGCTTCAACTTCTTCATGATCTGTGCTTCCTCGAGGAACGATTCCGGGGACATGGTGCCTGGTTTAAGAGTCTTTATGGCTACTTTTGTGTTTCCATTCCAGGTACCTACAAACATCCCACAATATTAAGTCAAACCAAAGATCCTCTTGATGGACAAGAAAAAGTTTTAGGCTAATCGCTGCTTACATTAATAGCTAAAACTGGACTTTAAGTTTTTAAAACCTGATATGGTTTTTGAGAACAAAGACAGTCGATTGCAAGGACTCTGTCAAAGTATTTCAATAGAAAAATGAATTTACTTATGGCTGTGTTATTTATTGTTTTCAATTTTTATCTGTCTGTCTATTTAAGCTACAAGTTTACAAATTTGCATCAAAAGCACTGGACCTCTTGTTTAACAGTGAAGACTGTCCAGGGTTTAGAACAGTTCTGACAATCTGATAACCATTCTGTGGGTCATGCAGTGAGCATGGAAGAAATTAGACTAAGTTCCATTTGATGTGTTACACCATTCAAAGGGCATCATGGGAACACGCTGAGGATGCTTGGGAACTGAGTAGGTTTTCAGCTGTCTGCAGTGGATGAGCTACTTGACTGAGTCCTTGCGCAATTGACCTAAGCATGCAGATACGCACTACCAGGGCTCCCAGCCTCCCTGTCAACTCTTCCCCCAGGCCAGGACATCCCTAAGGCATGCAAAGGCTCAGCCTCAAAGAGAGCAATTGCTTTAATCAGGGGGACTGGGGAAATTAGACAGCAGGTGGGGGCAACAGAAATGCTTAAACTTCCCAGGTTAACATATCTAGCTGATCCAAAGCAAGAGCCAGTTGAGATATAGTCAGTTATGTCATCTGTAAAATACAGGAATAGGATTGGATTATCTGTTGAATTTTTTTTAGTTAGAAAATTAAAACAAAACATAACCAAACACTGGGTTTTGTGTGTATCCTATTGATAATCCTTGTTTTATTGTTCTTTTGTTTTTGAGACAGGGTCTTGCTATACAGTTCAGGCTGGCCTCAAATTGAACAGTAACCCTCTGTCTCAGCCTCTCAGGTGCTGGGATTACAGCCATGTGGTGCCTCACCTGGCTCTGAAGAATAATTTTATAAAGGGAAAAGCAAAAGCTGCTATTTTCTACTTAAAAGAGAAGGTAAGATTCGTATTTTATTTAATCTATGATTTTAGGATCTAGGGATTCTGAAAACTGGAGCAATTTTTATTACTCTGTTAAAAATGTGGCTCTTATAACTACTTGCAACCTACAAAAATATAAATTATGAAAGAACCAGTGGTTTAAAAAGAGTGCTTTTAGATGTTACAAAGCACCTGCCTCTAAAAGTCAGTGAGAAATTTGCCAATCTGTACCTGACCTTTGTGATCGAAGTCTTAGCAGCTTTCAGATTTACGTACTGTGAGAGCCGCCTGTCTAACAGCAATCTGGGAAGTCCACTGGCACCCCTGATTTCGGTGGGGTACTGTTTACATTTCCTCAGAAACAGTCTTAGTGGTCTGGGTAATGATTTAAAATTAATAAAAGTTTGAAAATAAATTTTCTCAAAGGCTCAATTCTTCCTGATTATGTGAATGATTCGATTAAAATTCTTAGGATTCACAGCTTCAATTATGAATTGGGTGAGTAACAGAGAAGAAAATACAAATATTTCTTACAATACATGAAGTCCAGAGAGGGAGACAATAATCTGAACTCCTATTTATAACGGTGAATGCATGCGTGCATACGTGTCTCAGTATATGCTAGCTAAGCATGCAGATACGCACTACCTGTAGTGCTGTCTATTACTGCATCTCTCTCTCTCTCTCTGTCGATCCATGTGCACCTATCTGTATAGCACTTACTACATGCCAAGGCCTTTTTTACCCAAAGTCTCTACACAGGCCTAACTATGTTGTTTTTAATAGACTCTCAGGAAGGGGGATTCCATAAACTTTAGTACTGCTTTACTGACAAACATTTTTCCTGGGGTCTAATTCTACTGATTGCCTCTAAGCAAAGCTGCAACTGATCCAAAGTGGTTATGAAAGCAATTCTGAGGAATGCCTGCTATTTCCAAGGGACTTTAAACATACTGCCCCACATAATCCCAAAATAATCCCGTGAAGCAGGTACTGCTTCAGTTTTACAGATGAGAGAACTGAGGCTCCCAGATACTAAATCACCCCTTATTAATGGTTAATCAACTCTTAAGGATTCAAACCAGGCCTGGTGAGGAAAAAGCCCTTGGTGTGTGTCGCTGCCCATGTACAATATCTTACCTTCCCATTTCTTAGGAAAGTGTCACTTTCATATATATTGGTTTCCCGTTTGGCAGGTGCTTAATTAACCACAACATGGATGACAACAGAGCACAGCTGGGTATCACCACATCCTGGAAATCTGGATGACCCGTGACCATCTAGCTAACCAGGTCAAGGCTGTCCCATGGCTATGCGTGAGTGTGTTTGTTCAACACTGTCCTTTTAATTGGCTTTGAGATGCAGCCGAAACCAAGTGCACCCTCTGCCTTACCAAGCCACACTTCAGCGAAACACCCCTGCCCCAGCTTCTTCTCCAGAAACAAGGAGTGACGTGCAACTTCCCAAGCATCTTTAGCCAATCCAGAAGTTTGTGGGGCACAACTCGATGAAATCACAGTTAAGTTAAAACACAAACCATCAGCTTTCTCTACAGGAAAGGGAATTAATAAAGAAAACACAGTCCTTATAATCCATAATCATGCATGCACTAGGAAAGATGGAAGGTGACTTGCCCTACAGGGCAACATTCAACCAATATTTGCAGCTGGAAACAGAGGCAAGACATATTACATAGGCTGCAATGCGCCTTCTACCATGTACTGGCTCACGAACCAAGGCTCGTGTAACGGCACCCCCACCTGGGGGTTCTGCAGGTCTTGCCAACTTATCTTTTTTTTTCTAGAAATTGTCCAATTTTGAAATAGAAGTCATTATTGTCCATTTAGAGTAATTCAAACTCTCTCCCAGCACATGAAGTCTTTGTTTTCACCTTCCATCTTTGGTGTTTGGGATTTCCAAACCAGGAAGCTAATAGTAAGAGTAATTGAGTTTCAGCATACCCATCCATACTTCCCCAAACTGCCCATTTCCCAGTCTCTTGATCAACTGCAGGGATTCTCGAGGGATTTCCCAGACATCTTTGGTTTTGACAGACAGATCGGTAAGCCGTGGCATCCCTTTGTGACAGGGGACTACTAGGCGGCAGCAGAGACCTGCAGCTCTCTCTGATGGAGCAGGGGCAGCAGCATGAGAGGAGAGAAGAGCAGAACACATGTAACAATGACACGCACAGGTGCAAATCCCGCCCCTCGGGGCACAGCGTACCTGGGCAGGCTGTGTCCACAAACAACCGCGCACACCTGGGTTAGACGCCACATGGTGACACACGTTCACTAGCAGTGGGACGGGGGCATTTTCAACTTAGACTATCCCATGTCACCAGGTGGGACATGGTTTATGCACAGACACAGACACAGACACAGACACAGAATGTTTTGATGTTTATACTCATAAGTAAGAATACTGTTTTTAGCCCAAGGTGCTAATGACATGTCTTCTGGGATGCTAAAAATGGCCTCACTGATTTAAAAAAGTACATTTGGACCAAAGCATGTCTGTATGACTGTCCTCTTCTCCCTCTAGGCTCTGTATTTCCTAGGTTTAAAGCTGTAACCTCAGTGCAAGATTCCTTGATTGTTACGAACAAATAAGGCTGAATATTAAACCTAGAGGGGAAAGATGTCACATTTCTCTGGAGATTTCTTGGGCATTCTGATTCCATTCTACCAGTCAGATATGCCTGCATTGCTTCTTTGTGATTGTCTATTAAAAACAAAAAACAATCTCCTACATGTAACTTAGCAGTGTGGATTGAAAGGAAAAAGAATGGAAACCAACATTTGCAGAAACTCAAGGATTTGAAAAAGGAGGGAAAAATGGCACACAAGAGGTTATTGGAGGCTCTTCCCCTGTCCTTTCTTTTCTAAAAGAATATAGCTTTTAAGATCTAGCATGGTTGGGGGAAATTGACTAAATATCAAGTTACAAAATCAGGGGAGAAGAACCAACAAAGAGCTAGAACTCAGGGATGTAACAAAAGCAGCACAGAGCTGGCCTCCAGGAGGGAGGCGCCCCCACTCTTTGGAAGCTCTCAGGTCCAGGCAAAGCAAACACAAGCCTGCTGCCTGTCTGAGATCTGACTGTAACTCTTTTTTTCCCTTCCTTTCTCAGGCTCTGAGATATTTAGGCAGGAGATTATTTATGTGTCAATATTTCTGAAGCATTTTATGTGCAAAAGAGAAAGAGGGAAGAGGAGAAGCCAATATAAAAACAAATCTAACTTGAGATGGTTTTTTCCCCTGAGTTTAAAAAATGTCTATTGTTCTTCATTCATATCCCTTCCCTCCTTCCAGCTTTACAACGTTATTAAGGTGCCCTTTCCAACACAGGATTTTCAAATGATCCAAACCCTGGGGATCCTGCTGATGCTTGGCTGTAATGAAATATCTTTGAGCATTTGAAGAATCCCTACAACATGCAGACATTTTGAGTCTATCACTTAAGCTCAGGGAGAAATTCTGCTCCATTTCTCTCAAATATTTCATTAGAATCACATAAACCAACAAGACAGGGAACCCCTGAGCCAATCAGGACCAAGTACTGTTAAGGTTTTCAATTGCTCATTAGTGATCAGGATAAATATACAGGCATTTTTTTGTGTTTTCAACAGATAAGCTTTTTTCGTGCTTAAAAAAACTTCCCACACGTATTTGTCAATGAATGTGCAGAGCAACAGTAGAGGTCAGAGCTGGACATTCTGGAGTGGTGCCACTGTTGCCAGGAACAAAACTGAATACATGGGTCACACGAAACCTCCTGCGCTTACTGTGGTATAGACCCGAATCTGTACATGTGTATTCGTCTCCGTATCCACTGGCTTATATATATTGTAGAGTTGGATATATCTGCTAACCAAGGAAAGCAAGCAAGCAATTTGACGATTTTACAGAAAATCATTCTAGTAACGTGCATAAGCCACATCCCCATTCACCTCATAGTTTGGCTTCCAGGAATAACGAAATAATAGTAACAAGTGGGTGTTAGGACAGAGACTAGTCTACCTTTAAGGATTTCGACACAATAGATGTGACACATGAATGAGCCGTGGGTCACGTGAGGCCAACTCTAGTTAGACACGGAAGAACCTCGGGGAAAATAGAACCTGATCAAAGGATTGATGGCTCCCCGTCACCTGCATTCAGGGCATACGCAGCTGTCCTGGAGCAGAGCTGAGTGAGAAGTGTTGGCAGGAGCCAGTGTTTCCTGGAGCAGTCCCCAGGGACACGCCCTCCCGGAGACCCTTCCTCATGCTCTTTACAGAAAGGGGAGCAGGAGGTTAACTCGAGGATTTTAGGATGGAGCTGAAAATGGACCGTTTTAAAGATTTAACCTCCTACTTTTTATATGTACAACTACAATGTCACAGAATCTTCTGACAGATGTGGAACTCATAATAACTGGCAGAAACACAACAACAGTGCCACTCAGCCAAGCCCCAGCATCAGGGGCTGGCAGGACAAGACAAGACAAGACAAGACAGAGCAGAGCAGAATGGAACAGTTTTACAGGCATCTCTGTCTTGGTCACCCCTCCCTTTCCCTCTCCTGTGGGAGTTTCATGTCCAGCCAGCCCTCCAGCATTTGCCTCGCTGGTGGAGTCAGTGTTACCTGAGTAATGTTGCACAAGCTGCTGGAGCGTTTCAAACTGGGCCCGGGTGGTGATATAGTAGCCGCCATTGTCAAGCTTGCGGATTTTGTAATGCTTGACGTGGTCTCCTTTCATATCATCCCAGTCACGGATGGAAAGTGAGTAGGCACCTAACAAACACGCAGAGCATGAGCAGCACCAGGGATTCAGACTACCAGTTTGGCTTTTGCCTATTCTGATTAACTATAGCATGGACTCTCTCTCTATCTCTCTGTCTCACATAGCCAGACTCCATCGCTGTTTTTTTTTTAAGCAATGAAATAATTTTGCCCTTGGGGCTGGAGCTCCCCAGTTATGTTTCTAACATCCTTTCTCCAGTGCACTTGTGCTGCCTCATTCAGTACAGGCCCAATTCCTGCAGGGGAAGATCAAGAGAAGCCCCAGTCCCGGTTGAGTGCACCTCCCTGGGTTCCTCTCTCTGGGGGCCGGGGCAGACAGGAAGGCAGCCTGTACAAAGGAAATCCACCAGCAACCTCTAGAGTAGGCTTCAAAGTTCTGCCTCCCTCCTAACACAGCACAGGCATCACCAGGGTCTGACAGCTAGAGCTACAAGGCCACCTCCCTTTTTTCTCCTCTACCTGCCTCCTCTGGTGGGCTTTAATGAGTTGTTAAATAACACAAAGGAAGAGCAAAAATCCTCAGTTACTAAAAACAAAAGGAAAACAAAAACAACCTGTATGATTGGTGCCTGGGGAACTAAGAGTTTTAAAAACTCCTGACTCTAAAGAACTTCTGAAACTGTGATCTGTGCCTAGGAGCAGGGGGGCTGCCCAGAGCCCAGCTCAGGAAGAAATCTCAGCTCTGAGGCTCTGCAGCTCTGTTCCATGCCGTCTGCAGTTCTAGAGCCTCCAGGGGAAACTAAAAGCAGAACTCCACTCACAAGGCAGGGAGGAGAGGTGCCACTTAAAATCCTGGTACATTACAGATAAGCCTTTCACCCCCCCACTAATCCACAGACTTCAGTGACAAGCCAACTTCTCTGGCCCCTTATCTTACCTTTGGTGGTTTCACTCTCTCGGATAAGAAAGGTACCTCTTGGGTTTCCAAAGGACAGAAGCTGTCGCTCGGCATCCTTGCGGCCAAGTTTTCCAAAGTACCACCTTTAAATGAGATCAAGCAAAGATGCTTTATGGCAGTCATGTACAGAACTGAATGCACAGCCTTTTTCTGCCCTCTGCCTTGATGGAGATGTTTTTCTAGCTCCATTCAGTTATCTTTCAATCTATCCTTGCTTCTATCCCTACTCCATCTCTTTGACTCTGAAAAAAGATCAGATTTGAATTGTGGGTTGTTTCCCTTCCTTCCAGGAGGACAGAACTGGCATAAAACTGCCACCTGCATGCATAGAGACCTTGTTTTGAAATGACAACTACAGGAGATGTTTCCCGTGCTCGTGTACCCTTGGTTTCCGAGTATAATTACAACCCTTGGAAAATAACAAAACAGTCTTAGTGTGGAGAAAGATCACTAATCAAGCTTGGAAAATACACACACACGCACGCACATGAAGAAATCACTGCGAATGGGTAAGAGGTAAACAAGGATGGATGACATCTGCAGTATACTCCTCCCTACTGGAACTCTGAAAAAAGCTACCAAGTCTACACTTGAATGATGGCTACCCTTGGATGCTGTTTTGACTTGCTCTTCCTATCCAGCGTGAGGACTTGGATAAGCCACAGGTGTCCCCAGGCTCCTGCTCTGTTATCTGCTCCGTGGCTCTTTTGGCACAGCTGCAGGGACTGTTGACTGTGTGAGCTTCAGATCTGTGCACTCAAGGAGCATTCCTTAAAAATGACTTGGTGGTGTAGGAATTTTAATATTCCTTGGAACAAATTAATGATGCTTTGTGCCGTTAGGAGGCATCGCCACAGACTGTTGTCTTTTATCTGCTCCCTGTCCTTGCAAGCCCAGTCCCCTGGCGACTGGTTTACACTTCTGCACTAGGTTTTGAATGAGCAGCAGGTGCGCGGAGAACCCAAGGGAGAATTTGGAGCGTTCCATTGGAATCTGCGTAGGAACAATTTTTAGAGTGCTAAACTGTGAAAGGATCCAGACTCTTAAATGAAGTTCCAATTCATTACACTTAAACATAGCTATTACGTGTTCACTGTCAAACTCTTTGTGAATGAAAGAATTTCACTGACGATAAGGAAAAACAGCAAGTGTCAGCTCTTCAATGATTTCGGAAGTACAACAATGTGTCACAAGCCCTAATCTAGCACCATTGATACAAAGAATATTACACCAATTATTTGTGAGAGTCGCCTTTCTGGGTTTTGTCAATAATCCAATTAAAATGCTGCATAAAACAAGTACAAATCGGGACTTTCTGTCACATGGACTGCACCTGGACAGTAGTATTTTAAGGTAACACTCAGTGACTGCATAAGTAAAATCATAGGCATTATTTAAAATATTTTATTCTTTTAAAGCAAAATAAAACCAATCACTGTAGATAAAATTTAACTGTATAGTGAGCAGGTTCCTAGTTCAAGTCCAAGTAATGCTACCGTTTGGTGGAAGTTTTATTCTGAAACAACACAGATGTTTGCAAATGCGCCCTAAAATATAAATTTGATACAAATGACCTTTCTCACTGATGATGAGATACATTTTCTAGGAGGGAAGAAAAAAACCCAGCTCAGAACCATTGAGTATTTGGGGGGGGGGGACAAAACACAGCTTCTTAGGAGAGGAAACACAAGGGAATTAAAGGTGAGAGAAGGAGCCGGTGGGGGATTTGGCTAGGGGTAGAATCTAATCCTCCTTGCAGTGCTTAAACAAATCCACAGCAGAATTAAATAACAAAGCAAAGGCTGGGCTCAGTGACTGGCTATTTTCTGCCCCTTCTCTAGTGCCGCAGGTCCCGGAGGTGTCAGGGGAGAGGCCAGTTCCCTGCACTTGGGAAATCACTGCCCTCGATCCCTCCTCCCAGCTCAGAGTCAGGGCTGGTGAAGTCACAGCAGCAAATGCCTCCTTGGCAGTGCCCGCTCACGCCCACAAGTCAGAAGGGACAGTGGTCATCCCTTCTAGAACTTCTCAGCCTACTGACCACTTTCCTGAATGCCTCTCAGTAGAGTATTTGGGCCAAATATCTGCCCATCAATAGTACTATCAAAAGCAACTGAGACCCCAATCAAAAGGAAGAATCACTGGAAATCTATCGCTACAGGATTTCCCAAGTTGCGGGATGCATTGTACATGAAATATTTTCACTGGAACATGGAAGGTATGTTTTTTCAGTATTTTTACTATTCCTGATTACATCAAGGGAGAAAATCTTATGTTAAACTTTAATAATTATACCCTCCTCCCGTAGGGAGCAGACTATGCCAATCTGGGGCTGTCAATAATATGTGCAATAGTAAGAATTTCACCGTATTTTTTATGAATGTCTTTTTATCTACAATAAGTTGTATTGTGTTTCATTAAGGATGCTGAAATAAAATTTCCTTTCAAAATGAGTATAAATTAAAAATGAGCAGATTTATCAGGAAGTATTAGGTTAATAACAGCACAAGCACTGCAGAGACATGACAAAAACCAAGGCATAAAACAGAATTACCATATCTTTACAACCAGCAATTTCTGTACAGTTTTTTTTTGGTACTGGGGAATGGAACTCACAACTGCGTGCTCGCAAGGCAGGCACTTGCGCCGCTGAGCTAAATCCCCAGCCCCTCAACCAGCAATTTCTTAACTGGAGTGAATTTCTTCTCCTTTTTACCAAACATTCATGGCATTTTTCTGAGGCAATTAACTTTTAAAAGCATGTAGTTATGGGAAAACAACAAAATAAAACATACTCTTCTGCTTGGATAGAGTCAACTGGTGCCACATAATTGCTGGGAATGTAACCGGTCTCGCCAGTTGTCAAGGAGCGGGCTTCCCACCAGTCTCCTTCCCTGGAAAGAAGAGAGAGGCAGATGTCAGTGGTTCCCATCCCGCATCTGATAGCCAGACTTGATGCTGTGAAAAGTCTGAGACTGTTCTCAAGCTATTCTGCCCCTCGACTGCTCCTTTTCTCTAAACTCTGAGCTGTGCCTGCTCCTGCTGTGCAAGTGATGTTTCCCATCAGAGTCACCCAAGGGCCGGGCCTGGTATTGTCTTCCGCCTTCTTTGTGAAATGCAATGCTCTGGCCAGCAGCAGGCTCCCATGCTGTGTAGGCGTTCTGCCTGGTAAGAGGCAGACTGGGCATGGGGAAGAGAAGCCACCTCAGGTTCCTTTAGAAAACCATCGTGGCTGCAGATACTCTGGGGGAGGGAACCTGTCAGGAGGCCTGGGGAGAGGCAGATGCATGCTGTCATGGAAACAGGGAGACATACCTTCCCGAAGGTGGGATTTTTCAAGAACACAATAGAGGACATTCCATCCAACATTCCCAACCCTGGCCTGCTCATGCTTGTGGCCAAGGGAAGGAGGGGAGGTGTGGGCCCAGGCAGGGGAGGTACAAACACTCGCAGGGCTGAGATTCCCAGCTGCAGCCCTTTGCTGTGTGCCGCCACATGCTCTCATCCTGGAGTCTGCAGGAGACGTGAGAGGGGCCTCTTACAATACTCTCGGCCTGAAGCACTAACCATGGATTAAACTGTGTAAGCGCACATGCTTAGATTCACGTAGACTCACATGTGACCAAGCGCAAGGATGCCATGTGTGCTTCTCGCATTAACAACAAGCAGGTGATGGGCCGTGGGCAGTGTGTAGGGGCCACAGCTGTGGCTAGGGCTGTGTGTCCAGCCTGCAGTCAGGAGCAACGTGACCGCTCCTGGCACCACACACCTGGCTACCACAGGTCCAGACCTTCTCTTCCTCTGTTTTTGGTCCTTGAAGATGACAAGAGAAATCTGTGCAAAACTCTCCCCTCTTTAAAACGACCATTTTTGGCCAAGTTCTGTTTCAAAAGCTAGGGAAGAAAATACGTGGGACATGGGACAGGGAATGAGCCTCCCCAGCCTGTGGCACCAGCCCCATGTTATACATGGTCCTTCCTCTGGGGTTCCCGAAGATGGCACCTCTGAACAGTGACCAGGGAGTGAGGCACCATGTGGGGCTTCCCAAGCCATGGCCCAGTGGAGACAACCATGGTGGGCAGGGCTCTGGGGATGGACCGCTGGCGTAAATAACAGAACAGCTTGTGGAAATCACGGAGCTGGTAGGGATTTTAAAAACTTGTGCTTGGTTTTTCAATCTCTCCTTTTTACCCCATTAAACAAAAGGATCGATCCAAAGAGAGGGAATGGTTCTGATAGTCTTAAAACCATGAACTGAAATCCAGTTTTCACTGGTTCCATTTCTTTGCACCTCCAAAGAAATACAAGCAGTTGTAAGTCTAAAAGACTGTATACAAGAATTTACTTTGTTTAAAATTCTACATTTAAGGAAATGGCTTTGAAGATGGTACTTTCGTTTTAATAGTGACAATGTTTAGTGCTCTGACTGTCCACTAGATGGCGACATATCATCACAGAAATAACAATATCCATCTCCCCTCAATCTTCCAACCTGGGAAATGCTCCAAAATGGCGAGGGAAAGATGAAGAGTTTGTAGCACAGGCATATTTTTTTAAGGCACGATGCCTTCATCAGGTTAGTTCTAACTGAATTAAATTGAGAAAATGAAAGGCTAGCATAGATTTCAGGGGTTGTGAGGATGTCAAGGAGAGCGGGAAACCAGTATATTTGCAGCAAAACACAATAATTTCTGATTGGAATTCAGCATTGACTATCCCATTTTGATCTAGACACCTAAACAGTTCAGCAGAGATTACAATGACATATTGGCGTGTTCTAAAGTCCGGACTTTCTTACATAATTCCATTAATTATAGAAATTCCAGTTACTCGTGAAAAAGGTACCATCGTTGACTTCTCTATTTCTAAGTCACTTTCTCCATAAAGGAGACACAAGATGGCAGACTCAATTAATTACTGGCAAACATCACACTTTACTCCATTTACCTCACAGTTTACTCACATGGGGCCCAGAGAGGCTGATACAGATAAAAACGTTTATCAGAAGTGACTGAGCAAGTGAAGAAATGTTTTAACGTCCTGCATTCACCCACTCACCTGCCGTAAGTAACACGCTCAGGACTCACCCTGGCGGAGGAGAACAGGCCTCCAATACGCCCTGCACTGTTTCACTTGAGTTATTGTGGGCATCAGCATTATTAAACCTGCACTTTTTTACTCTGCTCCGACAGTCAGATGTTTTCATTAATGCACACTTGGTGTGATATTCTTTAATTGTCATGCTAATGTGATTCAAATACACAACTTAACCCCTGGTGCTGCCATAGAGTGGCTTCTAAGTTTTTATAAAGCTTTCCCTTGGGGGCTGGGGATTTAGCTCAGAGGCATAAGTGCCTGCCTTGCAAGCAGGCAGTCGTGAGTTCGATCCCTGGTACCGATAAAAAAAGTGTCTTCCTCTGATTTACAACCTTATTTAAAAAGCCTGTCCCCAGCCCCGTGTCACTCGCAGGCCTGTCTCCACAGCTGGGACCTTGGGGTGCCCTGAACGCCCCATAGAGCACGGAAGTGGCCCCTGCCAGCAGAAGGCAGCCCTGATCTGCCCAGACATGGAGGCTTTTTATTATCCTTGGAGCAGGTTTATTATCACTTGATGATAACAAATTTGGCCGCAGCTCATCTTTAGTTTCAGAGAACTTAGCTGTAACAATTTTATCAAATGTTTGGGGAGGTCTTGAAACCAGGATTTATTTTCCTGAGAGAAAAGAACTTGAAACAGTAAATCTCTGCTCGTGAAATGTGAAAATGGGCCTGCCACAGGTGGATTCGAGAGCACACAGTGTACACGGTGCAAGCTGAACAATGCCCCGAAGACACACGGTGCTCTAGCGCTGGAGAGCACAGGGCAGCAGTGCCTCCGCCTCTGGGCACATCTGTGAGCCCCAGTCGGCGTGGAGGGCCCCCCAAGGCAAGGAGTGGGAGGACACACATCAGGAGGCGTGGCAGCCAGCAGGGAGCACACAGCCCCTTCCCTGCCAGCCCTGAGAGCCAGAGGCGAGGCTGGGAGGGAGGAGCCGCCTGCCATCTGCTTCTGTTTGGTGCTTTGTTTTCCGTCACCGCTTCTCCTCCCTGTTATTACCCTGGCCTTCGGGATAGCGGAGATGTTGCACAGATCTCGTTTTTCTTTTCCGTAACCTTGAAAAAGGGCACGCAGATGACACACTGGGGGAGGAAGTCCACCAGCAAAAAGGAAAAGCATCAGGAGGGAAAAACCTTTTGTGATATTTTCTTCTAAGACAAACAAGAGAAGAGGACGGGAGGCTCAAAAGCCTGTGTAAACATCAAAGGCCACGCATGCAAATTGCAGAATAATACAGACTGGGACAGACTGGCCTCCCTTCCAAGGTTTCTCCAACAGCATGGTGACAGTGCGGTAGACCCTTTCCACATTAATAAAGGAAGAGGTCAGGATGTGACTCTGGCAGGACCTGGCAGCCCCAGGGTCCTACAACCTGATGCACGGCCCACTTGGAGCATAGACAGGAACCTTCTTGCTATTTATCTTTTTCTGGAGGGAGGCTGGTACTGGGGATCAAACTCATGACATTGCACATGCCAGGCAGGTGCTTGTGCCACTGAGCTAAATTCCCAGCTTTGCTACTTATCTTTTAAACTTCCAAACTATTTTAAATGTCTAATAGACATCACCATTTAGACAACACTGTATAGACAGGGGAGGAGCAGTGGTGTTACTGCAGAATTCAAAGCTAACAGACTGACTACAAGCATACATCTGAGAACCCCAGCTAACAACAAAGACTCTTATAGCAGAGGTCAAAGCCGAATTCTTTCCTCCTCACATCCAGCCAGCCAAATGTCCAAATCTTCACGTGACTCCAACACCTCACTTGCCTTTGATGGGGTATCTGGGCTTCTGTGCAGGGCCTGATGCTCACAAGCGAGTCCCTGAGCTGGGCCTACAGCCTGTCAGCCGGTCAGATGTCAAGGGAAGACCACCACACATACCCCAGACAGTTGTCCTGAAGAATCAACCAGAGCCTCTGTAGCTTAGCACATGGCTGCTACATAAGGAGCCATCAATAAACGGCAGCTGTTTACTATTTTTAAAAAATTCCTGTAGCTATAAGATGTCTTCTAGGGTGGTGCGGGAGGTGCCCTTTCTTGTCCTGGCTGCTGGTTGCACGGGTATGTGCAGTTTGTGAAAATTTAGTAAGCTATGTGCTTTAAAAATTGTGGTACAGTATATGTTCGCATTTTATCACTTTTTAAACATAAACATGCCTGGCAGCAGACAAGTGCGCACTGTTAAGCAGTCATCGCCACGCTGTACTGTGAGCCATGCCACTGTCGATGGGTGGCTTGTCCTCAGGACGAAGCCCTCAGTGCTGAGAGCATCTAGGAGGCGGCCCTGAGGAGGTCGCTTCTCAGGGAGCCGAGTTCGTCTTTGTGCCTGCCCTCTCGTCTCTCACGGATGTGTGGGTGTGCAGACACCCCTTTGTGCTTATCTTTTTGGGAAAGCTGAAGAGCTGGTCTTTAAGACCTTTTATCACCACTCAATCCAGTTTTCCCAGAGAGCAGAGGAGAAGCCACTAGATGTGGCCGCATGGCACAATATCCCTGGTGTGCTCTCTGCACCTGGCAGCTTTCTTCCCCGCTACCGGCCAGAGCTCCTGTGGACACAGCAAGCCGAGCTTGCTGATGAGGGGCAGTGCCATTTTCTCGGAGCCTGGGTTTTTCTGGGGAGCCCTCGTGCGTGTGCACTGTCTCAATCTCATATCACAGAAAACCCAACCCATATTCATCTCCCTTATGGGGTAGGAAGGAGGCCTTGGGAGGCCAGTGACCTGCTGGGTAGCTGTCGCTCCTAGCTGCCACACTGAGAATGCCTGCGCTGTACTCATTCAGAGTGAGCGAGACTCTTCCTCTTTCTGCTCGCAGAGATTTAGTTCCTCCCAGATTTTCACTGCAGAGAAACGCCCCCACAGGCTTTAGCCATGGAATGTCTAGCAGTTGTGAAAACAGAAGGAACTGGGTGGCTGAAGGGAGGGCTGAGCTGGTGCAAAATTCTAAGGGTGCAGCCACGCTGGCGCCCAGCATTGGAGTGTAGATTTGTGCCAACGCCAGCTGCTGGACATGCTGCTGGAGCTTTACAGCCTTTAATTGAAAATCGAAACCTAAAACACAGACGCTGCTACTACGGCTTGCTCTGAAAAGGTCCTGGTTCACACTGCCACACAATCCTGCACCACACCACTGACTGTGTGTCCAGAGGACATCGCTGGGAACCAGAGGATCAGCAAATCTCTCCGCCTTCAGGTAACTGATGAGACTCAGGCTGCACACGGGATCTTTCCCAACCCAAAGGCTTGTACGCTACCCTTTTCCCTCCCAAACTTACGAGCTGTTCAGTATCTGAAACTTTTCTCCTTTGTGAAAGCTCAGGTCATCTTCTGTCCGTGCTTCATAGTCGTAAAGAGCCACGAAGAGTGTCACTCCTGACAAAACAAGGAAGGTGACGGTTACGTAAGTAGAAGGAATTCCGGGAACCGCATCTCGGCTAAAACCTCGTTCTCAAAATCTATGTTTAGTCAGCACCAGCAGTTTCTTAAAGTGTAACGAATGTGGGAAACCAGAGTTGCGGGGCAGAATTCATGCCTTGGGCTCTGAATGGGAACACTGTCTGACCTGGGAAAAACCTGAAGCTGAAGGACTTCTCGATACACCTTTGAAAAGAGTCCTGTGAGAAGACAGATTCGGACATTACATGCACCATGAGAGGACAGGGAAGCACAGTGGTGGGGTTCGGATTTACAGGGATTGGTAGCAAATACTGGCACCCCTTATCCCACACACATTCATTCTCCTTCACCTGGGAGCCCCACGTTAAATTCTGGGTAAAAAGGATCACTCTTCCCCTGACACAGAAGGAACGCATCAAGTAACAAGCATCGTTTCTGGGGAAATGTAGAGAAGTTCCTTTCTGGAATGTTCACCCCAACCGGGAGACGCTCCGTCATTAGTGTCTAAAATTGCTTTGGTCGTTTTTGGCTGTTCGGTCCTATTGCTGATGATGGCATTCCTCTGGTTTCCTAATCTGAATTCACCTCTTGGCACCGTCTTACACCATCCACTCTTCCTCACGCTCTCCCTACGTCTTCTCACCTGGCTGACTTCCCTGGGCACTTCTGCTGCCTCGTAGAAATTTGCAATCAACAGTAAAAAAAATGTCCCCGTTCAACCCAGAACATGTTCCTGGAATAGGCAGGGTTCTCTGGAGCTCTCAGGACCCCTCTGGTATTCATGCCCTCCGACAACCTTCTTCCCTGGAGAACGGGGTGAACCTAATGACTGCTTCTAACCAACTGTGCAAAGGTGCTGCGGGCCTTCGTGTTAGGTTCCAGGAGATGATGACTTCTTTCTTCTTTGAAGACTCTTTTGCTGTATCAGCTTGTACACTCTGATGACATTAAGTGCCACACTGGCAAGGTCCATGTGAGAAAGAACCAGGCAACCACTAGCTGGAAACTGAATCTTGCCAACAGCCAACCCTGCATGAGCTTGGGGAGAGATGATTCTCATTTGAGCTGTGAAATGGCTGCAGCCAGGTCAGTAACTCCTGGGCTGTAGCCTGGGCGGGGTCCTGAGGCAAAGGGCCTGCTAGGTCACTCCCAGATCCCTGACCCAGATCCCTGTGCAAAGTAAACATGCTGTTTTAAGCGGCTCCATTTATGGCAACTGATTTTATAGGAGCTGATAACTAGAAAAGTTCACCTCTCTGCAACCTGGCATTTTGATCTTCACACACGTGAAGGTGCCAGACAGTGCCTAAGAGCTTGCAACCTACCCTTCTACCAAGCTCTCCTGCTGCTGGGCACAAAGCTCCGAGGGAACAGATGTGTCTGTGGGACTATTCAAGCACCAGAGAGGAGAGCCCCATCCCAAGAGGGCAGGAGAGCTGGCACTTAGCCAGCATGACGGTGCACGCGGAGCTCATTTGGCAACTGTCGGGCTTTTTAAATATTTTTTTGAAAGATTAGAAAAGACACTGGTTTAAAAACCTGTGGGTGCCTCGAAGTCAGTACCTATTTTTACTTAGTAGTCTATGGCCAGATTTCCTTCATCAGCCAAGCCAGCTCCACCATGAGGAACAATAGAACACAAATGTGGACATTCCTGCTCTCTTCCTGCATGGGCTAACAGGTCCTCATGCAGGGTATTAAGTTCTAGGGGCTGAGCAGGGGATCATACTGGTTACGGAGAAATGAAGACGTGGTTGTATCTTGGCCAAAAGGGGCTGAAGGCAGTGTTGACAAAAATGGCATACATTTATAATAAAACCAAATAATTGACACAAGAAAATCTGGCAACATCTAGGGGTGCTTAATTCAGACTGTCCCCCACCATAGTGCGCACCCACAGGTTCAAGCAAGCAGCCCTGTCCAGTGACCTCAGTGAGTGATCCCTGAAGACTCAGGAATTCACATGCAGTCGTTGTGAATGAATGGATGAACACCAAAAGGCCCAGCTCAGCAGAACTAAGCAGGGCTGCGAAGCCCATCCCTGTCCCAGTGGAGACACGGGTGTGAGTGTGCACGTGTACTGCTCTGCATCCTCTCGGGACAGAAGGGTCTGGACTGCCTTTCAGGGGCCTTTTAGGAAGGCCGAGGGACAGGTAAGCACAACATACCGGGCCTGGATGCAAGGGAAAACGAGTCACCATGGCACGAGGGTGAACAGAGATTTTTTTTCTATCGGACACAGCATGATATGACAGCACAGAGGAGAAGACAACATGCAAAGCCCTGGGTCAGTCCCCGGACACAACCGCACTGCCACGTGCTGGGTCCAGAGGCGGGGAAGTCCTGGGTAAGGCCTCAGCAGTGCCAGTTCCCCAGGTGAAAAGGCACGATGAGTTGTCACATAAGGCATGAGACCTCCGCTGGTAAATAAGCCAAGAGACGCTACAATCTTTTAAACTTTTGTAATAAAACAGCTGTGGGAAACGTAATGTCAAATATATGATTACTGTGGCTCACATACTGGGAAGAGGCTAAGTATGCATGAGATAATGCACAAATATTTTGGAAAACCTATTTCTGAGAATGTATGCCAGGTATTTTTATGAAGTATCAGCTAACTCAGCAAATACACACGGCAGTAAAAGAAAGCCTTGTGGTGTGAAAGACAAAAAAAAAAAAAAAAAAAAAAAAAAAAAAAAAAAAGAAAGAAAGAAAAAGAAGAAAGAGAAGAGAGAAAATGGTCTCTTAAACACACATAGGATTTAACTTTAAAATAAACCACATGGAACCAGGGATTTAGCTCAGTGGCATAAGAATCTGCCTGCAAGCACAAGGTCATGAGTTTGATCCCTGGTACCAAAAAATGAAGTAAAATAAAACACACCACAGCTGGGCATGATGGCACACACCTGATCCCAGCACCTGGGAGGCTCAGGCAGGAGGATCACCCTGAATTCAAAGTCAGCCTGGACCACAAAGCTCAGGTGATGAGGGGGCCCTGCCGCCCTGCAGCCAAGCACTTATCTATCTATGTATCAAGTTTTGGGTTTTTTTTTTTTTTTTTACTGCCCCTTATTGGCAGAGGAGAGGCAGCAGCTGTCTAGACACCTCCATGTTCCAATCCTGGTCAAAGGCTGTGACCAACCCAAGTGTCCCTCTGCCTGCCGACCTAGGAGCAGCCACCCTCCCTCCCTGCAGCCCTGCACACCAGCGAGCCGACAGCAGCTTACCTGTGCCTCCTCTCGTACGCAAGGTCCCCGTGTGAGATGAGGAGTTCACCCCTCCAAAGACGGTGAGGCCCTGGCCCCCCGCCGCGTGGAAGTTGTTGTAGTTCGGGATGGAGGTCACGCCGAAGCTGGGGTAGTGCTGTGGGGTGGGGTCTGTGCCATAGCGGTACCCGGAGCTCTGGTTCAGGCTGCCATCCCTCTCCTCCGTCAGTTTTGTTGCCTCTTTGTCCTTACATTGCACACAGCCCATTATCTAAATTCCTGCAGACGACAAAGAAGGGGGCACATGAACCCGGCTGCTCCTGAGCTCTGGGCTGCTCTGCTTCCCCAGAGGAGTAATTTAGCAAACGTGCCTCTGGTATTTCAGGGCCCTGGAGAACACGAAGAAAGGACGCGTAGTGTCCAGGGCTGATGGCCAGGGCCATCTCATTCCCCTAACTCCAAGTCACACTTTGCTGTGGACGAGGGCGGTGTCACAGAGAACAGAGTTCACCACGCAGTGATTTCCCTCCAAGCCTGCGCCCCTTTGACCTCTGTAACACCACACACCTACTCATCGTGCTTTCTTCTGTCACCCCAAAAAACAGAACATCCTCTGTGAAACACGTGTGAGCCACACTAGAACAAAAACCTCCATCATGGCCAAGAAAATGCAGAGAAGCTGGGACTGCTGGAAAAGCCAGAGTAGAGCTCCGAACAGCCCGCCTGTCTTCTCCATCATAGGTACCCATCTCTCAGGGACAAGCCACGAGTTACTGAGCGGGAAACGAAACCTCAAAGCCCATGCACATCCATCTGCAGGACGTCCAGATGGCCCACAGTGAGAAGTCACTTAATGCTGCTAATTAACTTTTCAAATCTCCACTAGCTTTTGACGTCCTTCAAAATCTTTTCAAAAATCATTCCTGGGTTCTGGAGCTACTAGTGGAGTAACAATTCAAGTCACTGTGACCTCACAGTTCTCAAGTCTCCTTTCCCGGGCCCTCATCCCAGGAAACAGCGCCCCGAAGACCCAGCTGCTCAAACCACAATCCCCAGGAGCAGTCACATGGGCTCCCTTGTCCACGTCTCATCTTGCGGCTCCCAGGCTCCCACTGCAACGCCCAGCTTTTGAGTTGCTCTGAGACTCTGTGTCTTCCCGCTCACCTTCAGGCCTCGGAACGTACACAGCCTTGAACACCCTTTTCCCCTCTTTGAAAACCAGTGAGACCTTCAAATCCTGACAAGAGGCCACTTTTACAAAGCCTTCTCCACTTCCTTCTGTTGGAGTGGTGCTTTTGCTAGATGCTCCCTGTGTCTTGATTTTCCTCCTTAGGCATCAAACACATTCAAACACTTGTCCCATCTCCCAAACGACTACAGGTTTCAGGAAAGGCAAGGACCTGTTTATTTCCTCACAGATACATTGCCAGTGCCTGGAACACAGTAGATGTTCCATAAATAATGCCACAAGTGAAGATTCTGTAGGCCAGTCTGCTTCTCTTTCACCCTGTATTTCTCTCCGTGCCAAAGCCAACCTTTCTTACAGCGACTCTGTTTCACAGTGTGCCCTACATTTTCCCATCTATTGGCATGTACGTGAGAAATGAAGATTTGGAAAGATGAGGCAAGGTGGTTAAATAGCCCAGCTCTGGCTGGCAAGCTGATAGAGGGTAGCATGACTTGCAGTACACGTTCCTGCCAAAACTCTGAAAAACAGCCCACTGGGGACCAAAGAATCAAGCAAGAAACACATGACTTCATGTGTAATGATACGTATTCCCAGGGAAGGGAAGAAGAGCTGGCACAGGACAGGGAGAAGCTCGTGGCAGCCAAGGCAAAGGCAAACACTGGTCCCATCTTGAAAACTGCCGAGGGGGCTGCTGCGTGGGGCGGGGGGACCCTGGATGCTCTGCTGAGCACCACTGTCCCGGGACCAGGTTGTGCAAGCAGCTTCAGACTGTCCTGCGACCCTCTCCGAGCGCAATTCCAGTGCGTGCTGACTGCACAGATCACCAGTTTGTGAGGATGGGGACGTCTGGGAAGGAGCTGCCTCCCGCTTGGGCTGAGATCACCAAATCTGGAATGCATTTCCTCATAAATCATCGGAGAGTAACTTACTATCTACTGCGCCCAACATGCTTTCCATCTTACGGTAAATGAATGATTTTAACAAGCTTCCAGTAGGAAACGCAAAATATCTCCAAGGCGTGCTTTACTGAAGGCATTTTATCACTTCTTGTTGATGGTGCATCAGCAGACTGATAATGATCTTGATCACTTTAATTCTTTCCTATGGAAATTTGCTCTGGATACCTAGAAAGGCCCAACAGAAAGCACTGTTTTCAAGGGAAGGGGTGACTGACCTGTGGTAATCAGATAACCTAAGACCTGGATCCCAGCATCCCTCCATTCATACCAACATTTTCAGCTGAGGCTGGCTTTACCACCTCCTCCCTGCCAAGAGACTAATAGGCAACGGATGTCTGGACATTTTTTTTTTTTGGAAGGCGGAGGTGGTGGTATGAGGGACTGAACCCAGGACCTCTGAACTGCAGCTACATCCCCAGTCTCCTACTATCTTTTTAAAACTTTTGAGACAAGATATTGCTAAATTGTCAGCTGGGCTCACCCTTGTGATCTTCCTGCCTCAGCCTCCCACACTGCTGGGATTCCAGCTGTGCAACACCATGCCCAGCTATCTGGAGACATTTTTGGCTGTCACAATGGCAGGGAGGGAGGCAGGCTATTATTGTTACTACTTTCTCCTAATGGGCGGAAGCCAGAGATGCTGCTAAGCTCCCTATAATGTGATCCCCAACTATCAATAGTGTCAAGGTTGAGAAATGCTGATTAATGTCGAATAAAGAATTATAACTATGTCTTCGAAGCAATGTAACAGCTATTTTCTTTACATGGATGTGATTAACATGTAACCCAGAATGCTTTGCTTAGAACAGGCATGCTAGGAAGGGGCAATTTTAAAAATGACATGCAAGGAAACAGAACCTAAAATCAATGAAAAATCTCATTAGAAACTACCCTTCCAACACTAGCAAAATAAAACAAACCCTGTATCAGGACCTCTGCAAAAAACAGGGTCCTGCATTTAACCAAACTAAGAAAAGACAATCTTCTGTAACTCACCAAAAAAGAAATATACTGTGAAAAGTAACTAACGGCATATATATATATATATATATATATATATATATATATATATATAACTTTTTGAAATAATGGGGGGAAAAAATAAAAGACTCCTTAGAGGAATAGTGCTTTTTGGGTTTTTGTTTCAGAAATGCATTCCCGAGGCTGGGGATTTAGCTCAGTGGCATAAGCGCCTGCCTTGCAAGCAGGCAGTCGTGAGTTCGATCCCTGGTACTGATAAAAAGGAAAAAGACCAAAAAAAAAAAAAGAAATACATTCCCAGTGCCCAGAGCAATGCTGGGCACATAGCAGCATTCAATAAATGTTTGTTAAGTGAAAGGATTTTTAAAAAAACACTCCAGATTATTTTGAAGGAGACACTCCACTTTCAGAGGAGGAAGAGCACTGTCATCACTTCATTCATTTGAAATGTGTAGTCAAGTAACATTTCTCCATAGATCTTGTTCTCTTCTTTACTGACATGCATGAAGAAACAGAAACAAACCAGTAAACGCAGACTCAAGTCATTAAAAGTTAATCATAATGAAAATATTTATGTAAGAACTTGTGGTTGTCTTCCTCCCACTTGGGGCAGTCAGACTAACCATTTCCTGATGGAAGAGTCAGAAGACACTGTGTGAGCTGTACTCCGTGTAGCAGGCTTCGGCCACCGGGCAGACTTCCGGACATTTGGCACTGATATAAGAATAGCCTGACTGTGTACTGCTGTGGGCTTCCGTGCCCGACACGGCAGGCTCACAGAGAACACAGAATGCACTAATACACTTGCTCTAGATCTGCAGCTCATCGAGAAACATGGAACAATGCCATTTTGAAAATGGAGCCGGTGTTACTTGACCAGTGTAACACCGCACACTCTGAACCCATGGCTGTGACCCCCTGCACGTCCACATGTCTGGAAAAGCTGACGGCAGCACAGTGCCCTACTGGACCCTGTGCCCACAATCAAGGCGTCTCCGACACGGCTGATAGCCCCTGTTCTTCAATTCTGTTTGCCAATGGAGGAACCCTGTTTCCACTAAAAGCCGACTTACTTGAAATGTCCCCGGTCTTGAGGACATTTTCAAATGCACCAACAGTATTATGCAACTGGGGCTTCTCGGTCTTTTGGCTAAGATCAAGTGTAGCATGCAACTTGGGAGCTTGCCAGACACAGAATTCAAGCACCGCCCCACCTTGCTCCCATGAGCGTGGCAATCATTATCAATTGATCCTAGCATTCTGCTATATGTCACATGTGGCCTCAGAGTCCTTCGCAGAGCCCTCCTCTAGTGACTGACAGAAGCCACCCTGGAGGGCTGAGTCTCTCACTGCTGTGTGCAGAGGGCCCTGTGGCCCGAGGTGAGTCAGGCTGAACACACCTTGTCCTTGTGATGCACGGGGCAGTCTGGCCTGGCGCACGTGCAGTGAACACACACACTGCTCCAGTCTCACCTGCCAAGCAGGGAGCAAGGCCAGCGTGCTGAGGCCCAGTGCTGCAGGACTGGCCAGAGCACTGCAGGTGTGTGCAGGGGCTGGGAACCAAAACAGAAAAAAAGGCCACTAGCGGTCTTCAAACCAGCAAAATACTTTCTCTGGAGGCACAAATACTTGCAGGCAGAGGAGGCATGGCAGGAGGAGGAAAGGCAACACTGACAGGTAACTGTGATTTCAGCAGTGCAAGCACTTTCGCTCAGACTCAGCCTAGGCGGGTATGGAGAAGCGACAGCCTTTAGGTACGTGACTTGCCATCCCTGCTCCTGATGGCCCTGGCTGTGCAGAGTGACCGGCACAGCCATGCATGGCCAGCATGCCGAGGGCTTGTGTCCAGTGCTGTCACTGTTGGCTTGTCCCAGGAAAAGGGGAGACTTTACCTGGTCAAATGTTTAAGACAAGTAAAAGAATAAGGACGAGAGCTGAACGAAGGATCTAGAAGCCAAACATGGAAGCTGAGGTGAGCAACTCAAGAGCAGCTGAGAGCTGAGCTGAGGATCAGCTGCAGTCTCAGATGCTCTGCTGGGAGGAAGGCAAAATCCGGAAGCTGCCTGAGCAAAGTCTGCTTTTCAGGCAACAGCAATGAACGAAAGGATGAGATTCAGCAGAGGCACATCAGAAATGAGCTGACCTCAGGA